TTTGACAATAAAAGAAACGATTTAAACTTAAAATCTGTATTTGCACATATTTGACACAAACACCTAGCAGCAGCAGTAAACACTGTAAATGTGATAAACTATGTTAATAAGCTGTCATCAATCTGTTATTATCAGCCTAAATACCTTAAGTCTTATATTAGCCTACGTCGGGCCGTCATATAGCCCCGCCCCCTGAGTGTAAACTGACTTACACCGGAAAACCGAAAGTATCACACACACAACAGCGATCGGTTGTTTACACTTGATAATCTAAACAAGTCCTCTCGCTGTTGTTGTGATTTCATATCTTCTGATTTAACATGATGACGTTTCTTCGTCTCTCTGCCGGATATTTATTCTTCCTCCTCTTCGTCTCGGCTGGTTGTCCAGGTGAGTTCCACACCTTGTCTTCCGCCTCTGAACGACTTCATTTGGACCCATCGACATAGTTTGGACTCAATATGTTTACTTTGTATTTTATAAACACGAACAACCTTTCTCTCTTTAGAAGCGTCTGGAACCAGATCGGCGTCAAAATGTCGCGTTAATACAGCTGCAGGCCCAAACCTGGGTCGTGTTAAAATAATGATCTTTATAATAATAATACTAATAATAATGATTAATTCTATTAAATCCGTAAATATTGAGATTAATAGGCTAATTACACATAGTGTGGAAAAAGGCTTAAAGGAACAGGCCCGCTCGTTCGATTTTAGGAAGTTGAGTTCCTAAACAGCACCAAAAGTATTTTTAACCCTATAGGGTGCTCATGGAAGTACTGTAACCCCATGATGTTATTGTAGTCCATAACCAAAGTGTATTTCTGTTGTTACAATTTCAAATTTTTTTATTTTTATGCAGAAAATCTGAGAAAACTAAGTGATCAAATATGGATGTTGGCCCTGTTCAATAAATCCCAAAATAAAAACGCATGAACAAGTTAAATAAACATTATTTTTGAATAATTATAAGACACTTTAGAATAGCTAATTTTAGAAAATTATATCACCATTGAAAAATACTGAATTTATCATAGTTATTAAACAATACAGACTATTTTTATTAAAACAGAATATTGTGGAATATTTTTGAAAAGTTATTGAACAATATATACCATTTCTGATCAAATAAAAATTATTAGAATATTTTATATTTGAGGATCTGCCTCAATGTCATCTTCCTCCTGTTTATCGTCATCAAAATTTCATAGCCTGCTTAATGATTAATTCTGTGATGCTGATTAACTTAAATGTCTAATGGGCCTTCCATCTATAGGCCTCAGAAGGTTCTGCTTTTAGATGACACATCTCTGTCTTGCCTGGTTGAAAAAAAAAGATCAGTCCATTTTTAAAGTCTTTTTGTAATTAAAACAATTCACATACAACCGATATGGCTACAATTTTTTCAACTCCAAGGGTGGATATAATTGGAGCATATGTAAGAATAACAAAGTAAAAGGAACTCGACAGATATAATACAAAATAAATCAAGAAGAGGAAAAAAACAACAAAATAATAACAATAATTGCAGTGAGGGTAGAGATATTTTACGTTTACCAAGAACTCAAGCACAATGCAAGACGTACCTGATCAGAGCAAAACAGCAGGAAGCCCTCTTACATAATATAGCAGGAAGTTCCCAATTAGACCCCAAAAACAAACTGAATGCAAAACATCCATCCATCCATCCATCCATCCATCCATCCATCCATCCATCCATCCATTCATTCATTCATTCATTCATTCATTCATTCATTCATTCCTCCTCCGGAGGAATCCTAAGGTGTTCCCTGGCTAGTCAAGAGACACAGTCCCTCCAGCGTGTCCTGGGTCTTCCTTTAGGTCTTTTCCTGGTTAACGTGACTGGAAAACCTCACCAGGGAGCCTCCCTGGAGGCATTCTGACCAGATGCCTGAGTTGTCACAAGAAAAAAAAATTAAGATGACAAACATTTGACTGTTGTAGATGTATGCGTTTGCAACACTGTTGTTAATAAATGAAAATAAATTAAATGTGGGTTATTGAATTTTTACACTGAAATAATACATTTACCAAAGCTTGTTTTTTCTCTGTTTTTTACTCTCCCTGGATCAGCTCCAGCAGATCCAATAGTGAAAATAATCGCCTTTGCAAATGAAACGGCCATCTTGCCCTGTCACATTGACCCCAGTGACGACCTTCCTACAGTGGAGTGGTCCAAGGAAAACATCTCTCCAAACATCACCTTCCTGTATCGGGGCTGTGAGACCTTCGCAGAGAAGAATCCGCTCTTCCGCGACAGGACAAACATTCAGTTGGACAAAGTGAAAGACGGTGATCTGTCTCAGATTATCCACGACGTGCGGCTGTCTGATGCAGGCGTGTACCGGTGCTTGACCAGGACAGAAAGGCAGGTGCAGGTTGAAGCAACGCTGGAGCTTTTTGTAGGTGTGTCCTGTCTGTATCTTCATGTTTATCTTGATGTGGTGCACCAGGATGAAACTTTAGTTTAAACATGTTTTTTAATTAACATCAAGCTAAACATTGGTGACAGTGTAGAGCTTCAGAATCAGAAGAGTTTTATTGCCATATATGCGAGAATCACAACATTAGGAAATTGCTGCGGTACTCAGTGCAAGAGAAAATAAATCATAAGCAAAATTAGAATTAAAAAACAAACACAATGGAATGATAATGATTTAGGGAATCAATAATTAGAGAAGCAGCTACTTTATACAAGCCAGTGTAGGTACTGGTCAGAGCGGATCAGTTCAGGTGCAAACACAACACAGGGTCATGTGACTGTAACAAAGCAACTGGAGTGTGCAGCCCTAGGATTGCCGTTCATGAGTCCGACAGCAGAGGAGAAGAAACTGTTCTTATGGCATAAGGTTCTGGCCCGAATGGATCTGAGCCTCCTGCCTGATGGGAGCGAGTCAAAGAGACCGTGTCCAGGGTGAGATGGGTCCGCTGTTATCCGACCTGCACGCCTCAATGTCCTGGAGGTGTACAGGTTCTGTGTAGAGGGGAGTTTGCAGCCAATGACCTTCTCAGCAGAGATCATGACATGCTGCAGTCTCTTCATATCCCTGATGGTAGCTCCAGCATACCACACTGTGATTGAAGAGGTGAGGGTGGACTTGATGACTGCGGTGTAGAACTGCCTCATCAAATGTACTGATAGGTTGAATTTCTTCAGCTGCCTCAGGAAGTACATCCTCTGCTGGTCCTTTTTTATGGTGGAGGTGATGGTGGGCTCCCACTTGAGGTCCTGGGTGATGTTGGTGTCCAGGAAGCAACATGAATCCACCATCGTGATGGGAGTGTCAGACAGGGTTATAGGGAGGAGTGGGGCTATGTGCTTCCTAAAGTAAGTAAGTAAATTTTATTTATATAGCACTTATCACAGACATAGAATCACAAAGGGCTTCACATAGATCAAAACAAAATAAAACAAAGTCATACAATCATAAACAGATTATCATAAAATCTAAATGCTCTCAAAACAGAATTAGATTAACATCAGAAAAAATAGTCATAAAATTATAAATTTTCATAAACAGATGAAAGATAAAAAAATTTGAGTTAAAAACAAGAAAATAAAAGATTTTGGTAAAAACAGCTTTAAATAAAAGGGTCTTCATCTGTTTTTAAAAAGTGTCCAGACTGTCAATGCTGCGTAAGGATAAAGGAAGATCATTCCAGAGTCGGGGTGCAACAGTCTGGAAGGAGCGATCAACTTCTGTATCTGGTTTTTGGAACTTCTAGAAGGTTCTGGTGTGTGGACCTGAGGGCTCGGGTTGGAGCATAAGGCTTTAACAGTTCAGTAATACAGGGAGGAGCTTAACCATGTGGAGCATTGAAAGTTATAGTCAGGATTCTAAAATTAACTCTAAAGTTATCGGGTAACCAGTGCAGAGACATTAGAATAGGAGTGATGTGTGCTCTTCTGTTTGCTCCAGTTAGGAGCCTCGCTGCAGAGTTCTGGACCAACTGAAGGCGGTCAAGGGTAGGGGTTGTATGAACTAGTCGACTAGTCGACTTCACTGCTCTGTAGTGACTTTTTATGCCTGTCATCGACTAGTCGCTGTCACGTAATAATGACTGACAAGATGCAGTCCTCAGAAAAGAGCACCTGCGCGTCGGGAGGCGGAGGCAACGCGCTGTGCCAGAGCGTCGGTACTGACACCCGCCATAAAACGGACATTTAACCAAATTGTGACGTTTACCCTCTTGCAATTTAACCTTCCCCTCACCCCATCCTAACCTTAACCAGCTTGTGCATGCAAAGCTCTGATTGTTGACGCGCTCCAGACATCTGCGTCCTGAGCACGGCCACAGTAACATTATCAAATCAGGTGTCGCCACCTCAAAAACTAATTTAACACACGATCGTTCATGTCGGCTCATTTCCTTTAATGTTTTCTGTCTTTTATTTGTGCCTTATGCTTTTCACTGCTGTGGATCAGGGCACATCACCTGGTTTGTCCTCGGTGACGCACCTATCACTGATTCGGCCACCAAGCAGTGAGCACTCCGCTGTTTTTGCGGTCGGTAGATCTTTTAGAACTGCAGCTCAAAGGTAACTCATAAGGTGAATATATATGAACCCAGGTAGCAGTTTTTCTTTAGGATTGAGAGGAGATGCAGGAAGATAATAAACAGGCAGGACAGAAAAATAGTCAAATAAAAACAAGTTAGTTTTTGTACCTGGTGGTTGCAACAAACAGACACCATTGAAGGTAATCAGAAGTGAGGAACAGAAAATGAAATAATTATTTTAATGTTTAGAGCAGCAGGAACTCCGAGAGGCTGCAGGCGCATCAGTGAGTTTGCGGCTGCTGCGCAGGGGGAGGGGGGGAGAGGGCTGAAGCAGAAACTACCGTTGTTAAAAGAAATGTGTTTAACTTTGAAAATGTGGGCGCAATTTTAATTGTCAAAAACTTCCAGGGCCACTTACTTTGCTCAGCTGATTGCTGTAAACAAAAATAACTCTAAAGTCCTGTTTGACACCATAAACCAGATTGTTTCACCTCAAATATCAGGGCAAGTTTTTTTTACCCCATCTACTTCTACTTCCGACCCCCCAAACATAAAATACTTTTAAAATTTGACTCAAATTACTTTTTCATTAAAGTCAAAGCTGAAATTAAACGATATGTCTTATTTAAACACATGTGGCAGACAGTGTTGGAAAGTTCATTTAAAAAAATGAACTAGTTCAAAGTTCAGTTCCTACATTTTAAAACAAACCAGTTCTTTTCTTAGTTCATAATTAAAACATTTATGAAACTTAGTTCACTGTTCCAAAAACGAACTAGTTCATGGTTATATATATATATATATATACACACACACACACACACACATACATATATATATATATATATATATATATATATATATATATGTATGTATAACTTATGAAATAATTTTCCAATAATTGGCACCCGTTCAGTCCACACTCATACCCAGCTGCAGTTTTTACCCTAAAGTATATTCCCAATAACATGAGGAAAATGTTATTTGAACAATTTTTTTTAATGGGAAATTATTAAACAATCTTAGGAACCAGGCTGAGGCAGCAAACTCAAAGGGCAATACTAAAAGTGCAAAATATTAAAAAAAGTGTAATCTTTCAGTTAAATCCCTTTTCAATTTTTCTGAATGAACTTTGACTCCTGCACGCCGCACCAACTGCTTCTGCCTATGTTTGGCTGCATTTGCGGGTTCTACTTTTTATAGACTCTATGGTCAACAGGATGCTTTAGCTCCGGAAAAGCTCCTGGAGTTCTGGAGCTAGAACGGCGAAAGAACGCATTCATAAACCTGTTTACGCGCGCCAGGACGGACGCACTCACTTTTACGTTCGTCAGACAAAATACGAACGAGTTAAGTTCACATTCTGGAAAAAGACGAACAAATTCACGAACGATCGTTCAATGAACACGTTCAGGCACAACACTGGTGGCAGACATGTTAGCAGACCAGGTCACGGACAACATCTTGAATCTTTTTTTTTTCCAGTTTCCGTGTCTAAGCCAAAGCTCACGTTTGTTCCTGCTGATGATGGAGTGATGCTTCAGTGCACGGCAGAGTGCTGGTTCCCAGAGCCTCAGGTTCAGTTTCTGGATGACCGAGGATCAGAGATTGAAGCTAAAGAATCACAAAGAGTTGAAGACCCAACAGGATGCTTCACCATCACTAGGACTGTGGCTCTAAAGGTTGACACCAGCAGGTCGGTTCAGGTTTAATAGGTTAGTTGTTTTCTGTTGCTAAAATGCGTTTTTCAAAACTGTACGTTTCTTTCAAAACTGCACACACAAAACCCCAAACATCACACACAAATTCCTAAACCGTGGCTTCCCTTTGCAACAAAACCCTGCCACCACATATCGTAACATGTTCCCAAAATGGAACACGTGTTTTCATTTGGTAAACACAGCCACATTTTCACATGACACACACATACCATTCATTGCTTAAACACAAGTAGCCTTTGGGTGAACACTACCAAGCATGGAAAGAACACTGAAGAGCAAAACTGAAAACACAATTGTCTAAATGGAACACAATGAATTATACACTGAATATACGACAGTGCCCACTTTTCTCTGAGACAAACATTAGACATCACACACATTTTGAGACAAAAAGTTTTATTTTTACAGTTAAAACCCCCCACCCCCCACACCACCCCTCACAAATTTTGAGACAAAACATTTTATTTTTTACGGTTAACCCCCCACCCCCAAAGCATAATCATGGGACATCATGCCGTCGGTCTCTGTCTGGCCAGAGGGCCTCATCAACATCCTCCTGGTCCAAACAGCGCTGGAAGTACCGCCTCGAGTGCCTCATGAAGCCCTGACAGGCCTCAAAGGCCACATCTCTACAAGCCTCCTCCATGGCTTGAAGCAGTGGCACCTGGCTCTGTGGATTCCTTTCGTACACCTTCCACCTCCAGGCTGAGAAAAACTCCTCAGTGGGATTGAGGAAGGGGGAATAAGGTGGAAGGTATAAAATGAAAACCCGTGGGTGGTCCTGAAACCACTCCTACACCTGGGTAGCCTTGTGGAAACTTACTTTTATGCTGCAGTCCCTGATTGCAAATTGCTCGCCAGACCCGAAAGTTTAGAGATTTGAATATTTGTGTGTTGTTGATTGAAGCTTTGAGAATTTATGTGAAAAGTGTGTGTAAACCTGAAAATTGTGTGTTGTGTTTTGACAGCAAGGTGATGTGAAACTGACATCAGAGTGTAAAGGAGGAAAATCAGAGTTCTAATATGACAAGGAAATCTTAAGTAGTGATAAACTGAGTCAAGCGATTGGGAACAGAGGTAGAGGTTGTGAAAATTGTGCCTCATTTTTGCTTTTTGAGTTTTAGCAATCGAAAAAAAAAACTGTAATGTAAATGTTGACCAGGTGGAGATATTTTTAGTGTTTTATAGGGTTAGGGTTAGGTGTTGAACACTGAAAATTTATTTTTTTATTTTTTATTATTTCTGATTATAATGGGTCACGCTTGAGTTTTTCATGCAGACTAAACATGAAAATAGTCTCATATACCTATCTCTTGCATTGGCTTCTGATAGGAAATAGACTGAACTCTAGGATTAGAAAATCCTGACAGATCTACGTCACACTGTCACTTAACATTCATGGACTCACCCATCTTGACTCATGATGAGGAAGGCTGTTGTTGGTTTAGTGTCCAAGAAACAGCAGAGAACATCTCAACTAGCAGAAGCTAACATTAGCAAATCCAAAAACAAGGCAATACGCTTTCATGTTTGTGTTATTTCTGGAGATAAAACATCAACGTTGCACCTGTGCTTTTTCTTTCAGAGTACGACTTACAAGGCATTCAACCTAGAGACCATTGTAAATGTAATGATTAAACAAGTGACCCGAATCTTTTAATTAGAGTTTTTGGTGATAATATTAAATGAACTGTAATCTGGTTATTACTCCTTGAGTAAAAATGTGAATCTGTTGTCCTTTGATATCAGTGTGACCTGCAAAGTTCAAGAAACGCAGTCAAACGTAACAAGGAAGACTCATCTTCATATTCCAGGTATTATGGAGCAATAATAAACTCCTGCATGAGATAAAGTTCCTAGATCTTCTAATCCCTGGTGAAGGTGGTTTATTTACCACATGGGCTTTCTGTAGATTCATCAGTTGGGGTGTGTTCCATTGTAGACACTTATACTTCCCACTGGTTTTAGTCTAATCTCGCCCACTCATTAACATATAAACCTTTTCACAATGTTACAAGTGCAATATTCTATATTTCATTGATGTTTTTCTGTTGTCATCTCAGGTAGCTGTATGTCATCCTGCACTAATGCGTGTGTAATCACTGGAGCAGTCACTTTTGTGGTCACTGGTGTTTGTGTTTTGCTCATGCTTTGTGGAAATGCTGGTAAGTCAGAAAAATGTTTCATAAATCAGATGAAGATGTTTTATTTTGGGTAGTTGTTTTATGTACTGATCTGATCATGCTAGTGCCAGTTCAAACATTATTATTTCCAGCTTATTTAAAGTTAGTTTTTGTAAAAGTACAGGACATATTTGTCCTTGTAAAATATTGAAGTCTGGTGTGCATTTCACTGAAAACCAATTCAAACAACCGAGCTAGACAAACAAACAAACAAACAAAAAAAAAACCATACAAATTGGGAATGGCTGAATACAAATTAAAGATCGCCTTACATAAATATTACCACTGAAACTATTATGTTTATAATAGACTAGTCTTTATTAATCCCACAGTGGAGAAATTCACCTGCTACAGCAGCACACACACTTCGATAAAAGGAAGAGTAAGATTACAGGTAAACACACCAAGTCAATAAACTATTATTGTAACCTTCAACCACTAAAAACCACAAATAAAAATAGAAACTTGTGTTTTCAGCATAAGGGACACAGACATACTAATGTGCATACAGTACTGCACACGTATTGGACACATACTGAATATTACATTGATGTTATTGTGTACTAGCTGTTATTAGTAACCGTGATGATAACTAGTTTTTACATAGAAGTGGTGGTAAGTTGTGTTTTCCTGAGTTCGTGAAAATGTCCATAACAGCAATAGTAAACTTTTACGCCAATGAAGCTCCAAATTGAAGTAAAGTGTCCATTGTCACCAAGTTTAAACAGCATTGTGAACAGCACAATGCTGCCATCTGTTGGTGCAAATGAGTATTTGCAATGTCCTTAAAAAGACTTAAAAGTGTTTTATAATGAATTCTTATCATTAAATATTAGTGATTCCAAAATGGTCCAAACAATTTCTAATTATGATATTTTAAATATATTTTACACAGGAACTCCTTTAAAAGGGTTCCAGAAATAACTTGATGTGACCAAAGTTCAAAGTCTTGTTTAAAAATATAGAATTAAATTAGTTTGTTCATCTTATTTTTTTTCCATTGAGAATTAATAGATATTTGATTTAATGTCACAAAAACAAAGAAAGGCTTGTGTTCTTCTGTTATTTTATTTTTTAACTGCAATTTAAAATGTATTACATCAAACTTTGGAAGTTAAACATTTCAGAAAACTGCATATTTAGTAACATACTACTGGTGGTGATGATTATAATACTACTACTAGTACTACTACTAATAATAAAGATAAAAATGATGATGGTATTAAATAAAATAAATTAATAAAATGTATTATTAGTTTTTACGTGGACAGCTGAAGTGGTGAATCTAAGTTGTCTTTTTTGGAGTTTGTGAAAACTTTTCATTTCAGCAAACATTGACTGAGTTTTTCTGTATTCACTCAGTTTGTGGATGTTGGATCAAAAAGTTGACAAAAGAGCAGACAATCTACAACCTAAATGCAGAAATCAGTTACTTCACATCCAAGCTGGAACCTGCTCCTCAATGTGGCCAACCTCCTAGCACCTCCATCTCAACACCTCCCAGCACCAACCAAGAGGACCAACTCCCTCAGAGCATCACACTAAAACCAGCAGCTTCATCCACAAGCATCCACCGAGAATCTGATCATAAATCCAAGGTGAAAGATTCCCAACAAGCAGTTCCAAAACACCCAGCACCTGGTCCCAAGGTGAAGGAGAACAACCCCAAAAGTGCTGCTTTTCCTTTCCCAAAGGGCGGTGCTGCACCTTCCAGTCCTCATCCACCTCCCATACCAGAAGGAAGTACCTGTTCCCGTTCTCTGAGTTTTTCTGGTCCCTATTCCAGCAGTGGCCGGCTTCTCCGTAGACCTAGCATGTCTAACCGCTACAGTGTTCTGGTAAATTTAACTGAAGATAAAGAGTCGCTGTTAAAGTAGGAATGAAAAATCAAAGGTTAGTAAATTGCATCATGCAGTGTTTCCCCTAGGAATTTTTCCAGCTGTGGTGGTGGTGGGTGGGGGATTATGACACGTCTCACATTTATGTTAATATTGTTTTATTTGATGCACTCCACTTTGATCAGCACCAATCCAGCAACTGCTGCATTTTAATAACTAGTATTAAAGGTGAATACTCCAGTATTGGCACAAGAATAACTTTTGTTTTAAACGCTCAGTGACACAATTTGCGGTGGAGGGGGGGGGGGGGGGGGGGTTGGCATTTAATTTTTCTTGGTGTCCGGAAAAACATCTCCTTCTGCCCCCTTTATTTGACTTTCTGCCCCCTTTATTTTGGTCCTAGATCATTACTGGGCTGGCCCTATTAAACACGTTCTACACCCCTGCTTAGTAGACTTAGTGAAGTATTTTTAAGCCAGTATAAAAATGACTGGCACACAAATTTACATATTTGGCATTATTGACCAATATCTTTGATTTAATTTATTTGTTAAGAACATCAAGATGCATTACAGTGAACATTATAATAAAGTAAACTTTTATAGTGCAGAGGGGAGACAACCCATAGAAGCACTGATTTGATCTCATTTCAGAGAAAAATAGAACAGGTCAAATGCACCTGATAAATAAAATTACTAACATAAACTCAGGAATCTGTTTCTTTGCTTCATTGTTCTGTTGCTGAAAATATCATTAATGCGGATCAAAGGAGATACACAGCTGAATGCACCTCTTATTTATTATTTAGAAATTAGTGGGTGTGGTTTACATCAATACATTATTTTAAATCTGAAATTGATATGGATTGATCAGAAGTTGCTATGTGTATTGTTTATTTGAAAACTATTCACAGAGCAGCCTCAGAATTTAGATTAAATATTTTTTATCACAATAGTAAAGGAACATTACAGAACAAGTTTTTCAGTAAAATCAGAACATTAATGTTTAAGTGCATGAATTAATGCATCTGAACTCATGCAGTAGGAACTAGGAAATATGAAATACTAGAGCCATTTTATTTTAATTTGATTAAACTGATTTTTTCCTAACGTTGTTGGCATTTTTCACACACAGTTAAACAAAACAATGTTGATTGAGGTGTGTGTGTGAGAGAGAGGGAGAGAGAGTTAAAATAAAAAAATAAAAAACCCGACTGGAGCGGAGGCAGTGACTGACGCATACACGAGCCATTTTCAGCTCTGTCTTGTCAAATGCACCACGTATGTTACAAAAAAAGTAACTAAATATTAAACTGAAAAAGAGGCGAGTTGAAGATAACGTAGGGAGCACTGAAGAAACGTGAGCAACAGTGAAGCAAGCACAGAGAGATCCGTTACTGTCTGTGTGTGTGTGTGTGTGTGCGTGTGTGTGTGTGTGTGTGTGTGTGTGTGTGTGTGTGTGTGTGTGTGTGTGTGTGTGTGTGTGTGTGTGTGTGTGTGTGTGTGTGTGTGTGTGTGTGTGTGTGTGTGTGTGTGTGTGTGTGTGCGTTGATGGGCCGGATGGACTGAGCTCCCAGCTGCAGTTTTGTGTGTAGGGAGGGGCGGGCGGGCGCTTTATGTGACTGGCCAATCACAGAGCGTGAAGACAGTCAGTTACCCAATGAGAATTTTCCTTCAGCACGATTACAGATATTTACGAGTTTTACTCGTTTCATGCTCGTATTCGTCAAAAATTATTTATCCGTACCGGATACTAGTCTGAAACAAGTATCCGGCTCATCCCTAGCTGTAACTACCCTGCCCTGCCTCCTCCTCCTTGCTGCCTGCCGGCTGTGATCACAAGCAACAACAGAGTAGTTCCCGCTGCTTCTTCGAGAAATGGCGCAAAATAAATAAATAACTAAATAAATAAATAAATACGTCAATAAGACTTGGGATCTTGGCCTTATGAGCAAAATACTACTAGTATTCAGTTATTACACAGCCTGTTGGGATTTTTGTTCTGTGAAAAATGACTGCTTCTATAAGTTAGGCAAGTTGTGGTACCAGCTATGCCTCCATGCAGCCTGTTGAGATTCAAGCCATGTACAGCCCAGTTTTTGTAGAACCGAATATCTTCCTTCGCCCATCTAGGAAGAAAACTTGGTTCACACACCACCTCATATTCGTCAAAAGATCCAGTCCATTGTAGAGCACATTCATAGCCTTGCCAAGCCTGCAAGTGGCAGTAGTTCCCCAAATCTTCCGCATCTTAGTCCAAAAATATTCCTTTGAAGTGGCATAACCATCCTTAACAATGCCCTTCACCAGTGGTCTTAAAGTAATGGAGCTTGTAAAAACAAGTAAACGAGTGTAAACGCAGGTCACACATGTGATGTCAGAGCATTTTTATTGCAGGCTCTGATGTTGCAAATCCTAAAACTCGGTATTGTTTACATCCACAAGCAAAGGCTAAGAGCAGAGGGTTCACAAATCTCAGTTTTGGTCAGGGTTTATGAAAGAATCATTTTTGGTGCCATTTATCGTCATTTTCATGTGGATGACAGGCCAAACCGTAGAAAATATGTTTGTTTTGTGGGATACCTGTAGCCTAGTGAACTATGCCAAATTCTTGCTTTGCAAAGTTTGCACCAAAGAGTGAGGAGTTCCTCAGGGATCAGTTTTATACCTAGTTAGGATTCAGTCCTTTAGCTAAGTTTACATGATTTTTGGGTCATTCTGTGGGTTCTCTGTCAGTCTGAGCCGCTCATGAAATTAGGTACAATTATCATAGATTTAAAAAATGTAATTAAAAACTGTTGCATATTGTTGTAGATATTTGAGTTAGCAAAGAAAGTTCTAGTTTCTGTGAATGCAAAGTAGACGATTTTCACAATTACATATAATTCTAAATCTGTTTTACAAACAAGACAAACATTTCATTTCTATGTAAATAACCTAAGGGGTTCATGGATGATGTTCATGAAAATGTTAATAAAGGAAATAAACCATTAGGAAACAATGATTTTACATGAATGTTTGGAAGAAAATACTATACTGTACTTTATTGTGAACTGTTAAGTGAAAATACTGCAAAGCTAAACACACTTAAAACCACATTTCATTTGAGACACTATTAAGCAAAAATCGGTCCAGTATTTCATTTTTGAAAAGAAAATGAGGTTAGAAATATTTTTGTATAAACACTTATATCTGTTTTTGTCATGTCACTTCTTTTTTTTTTTACTATATACTAAATGTTTTGTACTTTTTGATACCTGAGAATCATGGTGATTTTAAAAATGTGGTTCCTTTTGGGAAAAGTTGTCTTTTATGTTTTTCATTTAATATGTTTTTAATAAAAAATAAAAAGTGTTTATCTACATGCTTAATCTGTTTCTTGGTCGTTTTTACTCGCTCTTTCTGCCAGCAGAATAAAGGTGTTAAGTCCAGGTAAAGTTATAACTAAAACTAAAATAATCTTTTGGACAGAGCCTTTTAAGCAATGACAAAAATTGCTCCAGAAAAACATCATCTACGTCAGGACATCAGCCAGGATTCATCCAGACCCCACAACTGATCCAGGTTTAAACCAGGCGTATAACCGCTCAATATCAGGATTACTGCAGGATGGAAGCAAGACCAGCCCTATTATTTGAGATTCTGCCATAAAACTACACTATAAAACTCATTTGTCTAAACCCCAGCTTCACTGGATGCTTAAGCTGCATGATGTAGTTAAGCTGCATGATGTAATAATACATTTTTACCTGTGACCTTCCTACCAGGAACATTTCAGCAGCAAAGGCTTTCCACACAGCTGGTCCCACAAGGTCATAAAATTGACCTGACCATTTCAACATCGTGCACGATTATAGCAAACCAGGAGAAAGATGGCAGCATGCGTCTAAAAACGTCTGTAGTTTATTTTCTGTAATGCTGTTTTTTTTTTTTGTAGTTTACTAGAAAGTTTCCAGAAACTTTACCCTGCTCTGTTTGGCTTCCTGTCTGGACAGATCTGAAATACGGAGTTTGAGGTGTAGAATCGGGCACTTTCAAAATGCGACGCTTCGCGGTTGGTGGAAACCCACCCACCCGTCCACTCTAACACCAGCGGACCACACTTCGGACATTATGCAGTGCTTACACATCCAGTGGAAAGCCGGGGGGAGTCAAATGTTAATTACTGAACAGAAACATGGCTGAGTCTCATTGTGCAAACATCACATGGACAACATTAAAGTAGAGTCATTTTTATTATTCATAACTTTATTTTCACACATTAAATGAGGATTAGCTTTATAAGTTTAATTTACATGGAATCAAATCAGGAGAAATGTGATGACAAAAAGAAATGTACAACTAAACGAGTGATGTTACAGGTGTGGTCCATGGAGGTTCAACCAAAGTTAACAGGCGAGAGGAAGGCACGCATCAAGGTGCTTGAGCAGAGGAAACTCCTGTTGGCAGATTAAACACGCAGACTAAAGGTTTTATAAACAAGCGCAGGAATGCCGTAGAATCCTAGAGATAATAAATACAGAGTAGAGGACACAAACACTGGTCATGTAGCGATATATACAGCTTGTAACAGAAGGAAACATGGAGGACCAGAAGCTTATTTACAAGTGAAAGTTTCAGAAGCAGCTCGTCTATAATAATACAGAATAAAAGAGACCAGCATGAGTTCTTGTTGTGAGTCAATGAGTGTGGATCTGAGTCAGCTCAGAACCTGACTAGAGGATGGAGATGATCTCTTACTGACAGAAGACGGTGGCGAGATGAGGCCTGGGCAGCAAATTAAACCGTGTGTGTGATGTCAACAGAGCAGAAAGCAGAACTTCATTTATATTTTCCAGCTTCCTTCCTTCTGTGCATCTTCATCCCTCAGTGAACCAGCTCCAGCTGACTGCTGGAGAAGGGCAGCACTCCGCTGACGTAGTAGGCGATGCCGAGGGAGAGCAGGGCGATGACCACGAGCAGCAGCAGGACCCTCCAAAAGCCCAGGTCCTCCACAAACTCCTGCCAGGTGGTTCGGAAGCTGGACAGGACGCCCTCGCTGCTCTGGAGGTTGGGATTCAGCAGAGAGTGACTCTCCATGGCACTGTTTTAGGAAACAGGAAGTTGTTCAGAAAACCTCAGTGATGACACATGACTGCTTGTTTCTCCCCGTTCACCCACATCTACCTCTCACTATCAGCCATCTGCATGGTCTCCAGCTTGGAGTGTGCTCCTCTGTTGAAGCCCTTCACCTCCTGCTCCTCCAGACCCTCCAGGAGCCGAATAGCATCCTTGTTCACGCCGCGTCTCTTAGCCAAAACCAGAGGAGTGGACCCATTGTGGTTACTGGAACACACAAGCAAGAGTCATGCCACACTGGGCGTGATGCCAGCTGATGGACTGATAACAGCGCTCATCAGCTTTATGTGGTTGAATGAAACAACAAAACCATACACAGCACTAAGCGGACCGACAGAGAAGAAGACTAGGTCTGCCAAAGTAAAGTCCATTTACCATAAAAGGAAGTCAGATTGTCAATCAGCCCCTATGATCAAACAACATTTTAGATAAGTAAAGCCTAACTTTTACGTCTCTGTCTGCGACGAAACAGATGCACGCAACGCCATAGTTCATCCTCGCGAGCCTGCTGGAGAGCCCTGGCAAGGACGAACGGAGTCGAGCTCTTTTTTCTAAACATCCATCTGACAAGATGGAGAATGCAAGCTTAGGATTGGTCAGCTCAGCATTTTGACATCATTTCCAGCTTGACCCCATTTCCTTTCAAAATGATCAACATTGCCACTCTCAACACAAAGGGAAGAATCTCTTCAAAGTTATCAGCAGGAAGAACGTCTGGCCGCAGAAGTTCGGAAATATGAGCGTTTACATTAGGGCTGGGTAAAAAAAAATCGATTCAGCAATTACTTGTTTCTCAGTTCAATTTCGAGTCATCAAATCCTTGATTCGATTCAGCCCACCAGTCAGTGGGGGGCGTTGTGGGCAACACTCTAGTGAGACCATTCAGCGTTGTACAACACACGGGGTTAACCAAAACGTTCACGCCTGCACCTCCATCGTTTAAAGCTGATGTTTGGGCTCATTTTGGATCCCACTGTAAGCCGGGAACAAATGAAGAGATGGACAAGACCAAAGTTGTTTGCAAGCATTGCCACAACGTTCTTAAATATTGTAACAACACAACGAACTTGCGCAAACACCTCGCTCGACACCATGCAGATCGAATGCAACAAAACCAATCCAGCGTGGCTAAATCGGATGATTCTACTGCTCGACAAAGCCTTTCACAGCAAAATTCCTCCAGGCTCCGTTCATGCACAGAAGATAACAGCACCCCTGGCCGTTTACATCTGTAAAGACTTACGCCCATATAGTGTTGTGGAAACACATTTGAGCCATGCTACGCCATACCTACGCGTAAACACATCACAGAAGTGGCCGTTCCAAAGCTTTACACAGAGGTTAAGACGGAGGTTTTGGAGTCCTTAAAGTTGGCGGAAAAAGTGGCCGACCCATACGTAACTATCACGTCTCATTTCATTTCAACTGATTGGGTCCTTGTGTCAAACATCCTGCAGACCAGAGCGCTCTATGAAAGCCACACAGGGAACAATATTGCTAAACCCCTCATCGAGGCAATGAATGAATGAGCAGTGTTTCCCCTAGGAATTTTTCCAGCTGTGGTGGTGGTGTTGGCGGGGGGGGGGGGGGGGGGGGGGGGGTATGACACGTCTCACCTTTATGTTAATATTGTTTTATTTGATGCACTCCACTTTGAACTGCACCAATCCAGCGACTGCTGCATTGTAATGACTAGTATTAAAGGTGAGTGCACCGATATTTGCACAATAATAATTTCTGTTTTAAACTCTCAGTGACACACTTTGCAGGGTGGATTTGGCATTTAATTTTTCTTGGCGTCTGGAAAAACATCTTTTGCCCCATTTATTTGACTTTCTGCCCCCTTTATTTGACTTTCTGCCCCCTTTATTTTGGTCCAAGATCATTATTGGGCTGGCCCTAATAAAAACGTTCTACACCCCTGCTTAGTAGACTTAAGTAGTATTTTTAAGCCAGTATAAAAATGACTGAAACACAAATTTACATATTTGGCATTATTGACCAATATTTTTGATTTATTTGTTAAGAACATCAAGATGCATTACAGTGAACATTATAATAAGCTGGGCGGACACTGCGACTTTTTCACTCGTAACACAGCTTCAGCTCAAACTGTACGACTTCAGCGCAGGGTAGATCTCACGAGTCATGTGCTCACTGTACGTCTGGTAGCAACACATCGGACCTAAAATATGCTAAAAATAGCAGTTTTTACACAACACGTCAGACTTTTTTGTATTGTTTTGCCTGTTGTCCTTCGGGAGCGCTGCAGGAGGACACACAGGGATTTATGGGGGTTGGATGAGGAAACAAAATTAAGAAAGTAAATCTGTGTTTTGTGATCAGTTTAATTTGACATGAACACGACAAACACGCTTTCTTGACAATCTTTGTGAGTAAAAAAAAACGTGTAGAAACAAAAACGAACAGCGTGTGTTATTAGGGAAATAGCGAGCGACCCGCGTTGATGCAGGATTGCGCATGCGCCGTGAGCGGGTCTGATACTTTTTGGGTCGCAGCCGCTCGCTGCGCCGCTTCAACCCTCATGAGGAACGAGATAAATAATAATCACTCCAGAAGTCCGTGCGAGCTCACGATTGCTGATCGGTAGCTGGTCACGTGGTGTTAATCGCCTCTCGTAACCCCCTGTACACTACACGACGCTCAGCGCAAAACTCGCCCCGATCTTGTGGATTCTCGCACGAGTGGAAAATCTGCTCAAAAAAGTGAAAAAGTCGCACAGTGTCCGCCCGGCTTACTGTCTGTGTGTGTGCGTTGATGCCTGGGCCAAGCTGACGGAGCTCCCGGCTGCAGTTTTGTGTGTAGGGAGGGGCGGGCGCTCTATCTGACTGGCCAATCACAGAGCTTGAAGACAGTCAGTTACCCAATGAGAATTTCATTCAGCACGATTACAGATATTTCCGAGTTTTACACTCATTTCTTGCTCGTATTCGTCAAAAATGCTTTATCCGTACGCTCATAGCTGTAACCACCCTGCCCTGCCTCCTCCTCCTTGCTACCTGCCGGCTGTGATCACAAGCAACAACACAGAAGTTCCTGCTGCTTCTTCGGTAAACGGCGCAAAAAAAAAAAAAAAAGAACATCAATAAAACTTGGGATGTTGTAGGCGTGGCGGTGGGATTTCAGCCGTGGCGGCCCGCCACGGCTACGCCTATGTAAGGGAAACCCTGATGAGGCATAAATGAGAAAGTGCAAGCAATAGTAACGGACAACGCAGCTAACATGCTACGAGCGGTTGGACTGACAGAGACATTGCACATTGGCTGTTTCGCACATGTCCTAAACTTGGCATCACATGCTGCTCTCAAGATGCCTGCAGTGTCGAGGCTTTTAGGCAGACTGAGGCGGATCTCTGCATTTTTCCACCGAAGTGCCATAGCCAGCCACGAACTAAAGAAAAAAACAGAAACTTCTGGACCTGCCACAGCACAAGTTGGTGCCCGATGTACCAGCGTGTTGGAATAGTGCACAGAACATGGTGGAAAGATTTTTAGAACAGCAAGCTGCTATCTCTGCTGCACTACTTGCACATGAAATAAGAAAACAAGATAAAGATCTGAGCTCCTTTACAGAGGCAGACATAACAGCAGCAGAGGCTGTTGCTCTGGCTCTGCAGCCACTGAAGAAAGCCACCTTAGTCATGTCTCAAGAAGCAACCCCAACTCTCTCTGTCATCGCCCCTCTGTGAGCAAGACTTCTGGAGGAGATGCATCCGGCCCCGAGTGACCCTGCGATGGTGAAGGAGATGAAATCTGCTGTGGATCAGGATCTCCAGAAAAGGTATTTATGTGTTATCATTATGACACTTTATTCTAAGACGGTTTTGTACTGCACTCATTTCATAATGATAATTTCTGTACTGTTGTAATAGAAATGTATTACATTTATTTTAAGGTACACAGGCTTAAAGGAACAACTCTACCTAGCAACTGCCCTGATGATGATGACTGATGATGAGCGAGAAGAAGTCTTAGCCCAACTCACTGATAACACCTAGACACTGACAACTGAGAAAAGTTCAGTAAGTACTGTATAGTGCGAAAAAAAGCACAATATATTTTAACTTTATTTTTATAGTCATTTCAAACTCTTAGTCGTGGTACCCTAACCCAAGCTGCCACATGTTTAACCAGTTATGCAGGATAAAGTAGACAAAGGGAAACTGAATCAAAATTCAGCTAGGTATGTGTCAAATCTCACGAGAGAATTTCAGAAGTGTTGTATCTAAAGCATCTTATTCTCCAAACAGCTGCACCGATAATTGGCCACTTCCTTGTGTGTTTGCTTCACTTGTCTTTCCGATGGCCACATTCTGACTGTGGTTTGCAAAAGTTGATTTGGAGGCATTTCCAAATATTCAGAAGGATGGTTAAACGAAGTTTAGTAAAATTTAAGTTGAGAAAGACAGAATGAAAGACAAAGGAAGAGAAAAAACAACAGGTTACACTAAAGACACCTACCAGATATCGATCTTCAGCCCGTTGGACACCAGGAACTGTATCGTGTCCACATGACCGCACAAATGCAGCGCTGTATTTCCTTGATAATCCGTAGCTAACAGATCGGCCCCAAACTTGTGCAAGAGGCGGCATATTTCCACGTTCCCGCGGGCGGCAGCTAGGTGGAGTCCGGTGCGTCCCCGGTTGTCCCGGATGTTGGAGTCACATCCTGTCTCCAGGAGCCTCTTGGCGAAGAGCAAGTCTCCGTCAATGCAGGCTTGCAGGAGAGGCACGCTGATCTGCGACGAGTCATTGATGAAGACATAGGACATGTCCGAGTGGGTGTCAGAATATTCCAGCGTACCTGAAAGGACAGCAGGCAAGTTTAGAAAAAATGATGGTGGTGAAAGGCAAAGGCAGAAGAAATCTCTCTTGGCAAACAAACTTGTTTATAACAGCCTGATAGTGGAAGGAGCAAGAGTGGTTTCACACCCAAACCTCATCAAGCAGAACCAGTTAACTGCTCTTCACAGTCACACACACACACACACACACACACACACACACACACACACACACACACACACACACACACACACACACACACACACACACACACACTCATATCTGAACAAACATCCGAGTCACAATCACACCCATCAACCAGTGAACGTTCATAGCGGTCTTTCACCAACGCAACACAGAGGAGTGCAAGTTCGAGCCCTGTCTGTTGCAGTCGTGTCCTTGAGCAAGACACTTGAGTAAATAAAGTTTATTTATACAACAATTACCACAGGGGAAAAAAAATCACTAAATGCTTCACAAAGAACAACAAATCTTAAAGTCAGAAAATCATCATAAAAACAAAATAGATGAAAGGTAATTAAAATGAGAAAACCCAAAAGATTTATAAATTTTAAATAAAAGGGTAAAGTCATAAAATTCATCACTTAACCCTCCTTGCGAGTCAGTTTGAAAAAACCATATTTAGAAACTAATATTCTAGACAATAAATTAGTGTTGCAGGGAGCAAAACAAGCTAAATATAAAGAATGGTGGTCGAATATATTTATTTGACTTCACAAGTTAAAGATGTGCAGCAGAGAAAAAGGATCATTTCTGGTTTACAACAAAATAATCTTGAATGATTAATAAATCACTGTCATATTTATCAGAAAGAATGCCAGTGATTGATTATAACGAGTTTTAAGCAAAGACTAGAGGGATTAAGTTACAGGCTTTATTGATGTTTGCCAAAAGGAGATCAGTCATTAGGATGTTTTCTATAGTAGAGGTTCCCACTTCAGCTGACTCAACGTGTTAATGTAAAGCTGAGCTGTGTGTGCACAACTAATCACGCTTGCATCTGAGCATCACAACGAGAATAGACTAAACTGGACGTGTCTTTAATTTAAATATGTACTTTTGAGAAGATCAATTAGTTTTCCATTTTAAGTTCATGACATTTAACCTCCATGTAGGATCTGAAGAGAAAACTGCTGCCCTGATCTTGAAACGACGTGTTTAGTTTTTTTAATCATGCAACCCAAATTAGCTTTTGTACACCCAAGCGGCTGCAAATAAGTATTTTTTCATAAAAGTTCAACATCGAACCATACAGACACACGAAAAGTTAAACATAGACTCGTTTGGTGCAAACACAATCTTGTTTTTGTGACGCGCTACGTGCTAACTTAGCTCGTTTTAGGCTAGCTTCCACTTTTACATTGACGCGGAGGAACATTTTGAACATCTTACTTATCATTGCGTTGGGCATGTCTACATGTATCCTTTTATACTTTGTTCGTGGATTGTAAACAAGATTACAATCAACTAACAGCTAAGAAGAGAAAGAGTGGAGGAGTTAGCTTGCGACCTACAGTTAGCATTCATCACAAATACAAAATCCACAAACTCACCCTTTCACACAATCATAAACATTTAGTTTAGACTCCCTTTAAGCTGGAAGTTGTGCCACTAACCTGTTAAAATGTTTCCAATTTAGAAGAAAAAAAATGCACCTCGCTCTGAGATACGCTAACGCTGCTAGCCTGTTGTGTTATCGTTCTGAACTGAAGCTTGTTTGGTGTCTGTCGCCACCTACCGGTGAGACGGTGGTAGAGCAGCAACTCCAAACAGTTTAATCATCATTCATTCTGTAGCAAAACATCTGAATGCAAATATTCTTCATTCAGTTAATCATAAAATGACTGAACCCAAACATGTAAATAAAAAAGTATTTCATAGTTTTTAAAGTTTATTTCAAAGTAAGTGAGAACAAATCTTTCTTTAATGAATCCTCTTTGAGGAAAACAGCTTTTCTTTTCCTCCACTTCAGTCAGTTTACAGGATGTTGTTGAACATAATAGTAATCAGAAACACAGTAAAATAAGTTTCATTCTTAATGATTAAAAAAAAGAAGAAGCCATTTTTCAATAAAATTTCATGTACAGTTAAATTTCTGACCTGCTCCTCTCTCAGTAAATGAAACCAGGGAATAGTAATTATTATACAAGTACAAATAATTACAATCTAGATTACAAAACAACAAATACAAACCAAGCAAAACCAGTGAAAAGTGAAAAATGAGAGCTATCAGCAGGTGCAGTGTTCATAGAGGTTACATGCAGGAGTTTTTTAATTGTCCCAGAATTACGGAACCAGTTTCACAACTTTATTGAAAGAAAAAAGAGAAAACTTGATATTTTCATCATTCAAAGGCATAAAATAGTAAATGTGTTCCATATTGTTCAAGGACATCTCAAAAACAGAAACAAGCTCATTGTGTTATAAACATTTGCTTTAATGTGCTAAGAATTTTATATTCACATTGACGACCTGTCAGCACAGAGAAGGAGTTTTATTACTTGGGTCATAAGTTTTAGCCCATGTCAGTTTGCATCAGTGCAGTATTGTTCTCAGAAAGGTCCTTATGGAGTTAGTTTAGTGGGAAAAGTGCTATTTTAATGCACATAAGAGTAAAAAGCAGATTTTAATGCTGTATTTGGAGAAAAGACACCATGGATCATGAAATGTACAGACATCACAGACAAGAAAAACACCATAAATGTAACTTGAACTTGGAGCTTTCCTTTTTTATAGATAGTAAGAGAAAATCAGTGACGAGATTGCTTGATTTATGTTAGCAATACTCAAAAATGCAGCAAACAGCACCTTTTACCTTTTAGGATGTAATTATTTATGCTCCTCATGTCCTCCTGATGCCAAAGAGCTAAAGTTAAAAATGCAAACCCATCAAAGGTTTAAGTCTCAGGAGGTAAAAACATTCATGTCTATTGTTTTTGTTACAATTTATAATAAATATCTGCCTTGTTTTAATTCAGGAGATCATTATAAAACCCCATGTGCTGTGGGGTCCCAACCCCAGCATAGCCCCTTTATGGCCTAAATGCTTCCTATCCGTCTTTGAGATAATAATTAAATCAAATCAAACCCAATTTCTATAACATCCTAATGTGCTCCAGATTCACTGATTTGGGAAACTAAACATCTACGCTGCAAAAACAGATTTTTAACAAAGTACAAAAAATATCTTTTATCTTTTTTATTCTGGTCTAAAAGACAACAAAACAGCCTCATCAGTAAAATCAGCACTACTTCAAATAAGGTAAATATTCTTAAATATGATAAAAAAATTCTAAAAGTAGAAAATTTATGTAACATTAGATTTTTTTGCTAGGTTTAAGAAACGTTGCCAGGCAACTTTTGCTTAAACCATTCTCACATTTTTTTACTCAAAACCACAAAATGTGGTCAAGAATATTGACGTCATTTCATGTAGTGCTGTCACTGCAGAGAGCATTTTAAGAATAAGACTAAATGTCCTTAGAAAGGCTTTTACCAGTTTTTGCAGCGTACGACATATTTTTAGGAATTCTTGCAGTTGTCTGGTAAAAAAGTGTTAATTTCCTGTAGTTCCCAAAACATTAATACAATAAAAAAAAGGTTCATCAGTGATTCCTTATTTGATTATGTTATAAAGGCTACCTTACATTGCATTGGCCTAAATGAGCAAAATTTACAAAAAAAAAAAAAAAAAAAAAAAAAAACTAATAAAAAGACTTAAAAAATCCTCTAAATTTCTGTGTGGTAAATTTTGATGGGTTAATGCAAATGCAGTTAAAACATTTGTATTAATAATTTAATGTTGTTTTTCTTAAAATCTGACTAATTCATAATCAGATTATTGATTGTTGATTAGCACAAAAAACATATTTATCCCTCAGTCTGTGCTACAAAAGGAAAAATTGTTCTTTTTTTTATATTTATGAGAAAAAAAACTCAGCAATTTTTTTAATCAATAAAGTTTTTCTGCTACTTTTAATCATCAAATTTCTCCCAGAACATTAATCCTATTTTGTAAATGAGGGCTGGGTTTAAACATTTTTATAGGTAAATGTTCCTTTTTTGGGTGAAAAATGAAATCTAAACCACCCAAACTTCCCTGTTGGTTTACTAGAGCATACGAACGGTTAACGGAAACGCAGCGGAGAAAAGAGAGGATCTGTCTGGCTTATGTCTACTTAAGTAAACCATGTCTGCGTTAACGCCCAATAAAAGCTGTTGCCGTCTGAGCCAACTCTTCGTGTAGTGCTGCTCAAAGGGAGTGGCTCTCCCCGAGGAAAAATACAACAAAAGTAAAATAAACATTACAAATAGCACCAATGTCAGTGATATTCTAGAGAAGAGTCACAACTCTTCTCCGCTCAAGTCCTCCTCCCTCCAGAGTCTTTATTTAAAAAGCTAGTGGTTACTAAAGGTGTAACAATGAAGGGGATTTCATGTGAGGCTCCTTTTTCAGTCCCAGCCTCTCCTTTTCCATTAACTTTCTCCTCTTCGCCTCTGCTGATGTTTCCCTCCATTTGTCCACCCTTCCTCTCCTTCGACTACAACAGCTTAGTGCAGACCTGGCAGCGGCTGACCCGAGATCGTTCCTGACCTCCCTTTAGGGTGTCCGGCGGTGGCGGGGAGCCGAACTCCTGCCTGGGGTCCACGGTGGTCAGCCAGAAGCTGTACTTGTTGGCGAAGTAGTGACAGGTGCCCCTGGCTCCGTTGCACTCGATGAACGGAGTGGCGCGGAAATCTTCCAGGCAGGAGCCGGGAGACACCAGGGATTGACCGCCGCCTTCGGAGCCAGCTGCTGTGTGCTGTGGTGGAAACAATGAGAACTCAAAAACAGGCTAAACTCCAGTCTGTTCTGAGGTAAAGAGCAATGGCTCCTGCATTTATGCAGGAAATAATTCCCTTTGAACGTGTGGTGAAACTTAGATTAATGTGGATCGCTTTTCTAATCTTCTGTTGAAAAATAAAGGTTAAACGACCTTGCTCACTGTAGATGAGGGAACAACCCTTTGAATTTTCTCCTGCTGCCACCATCTGGCAGCAATGGGGCGACGGTGGCACAGGAGTTAAGTGCTCGCCCCGTAATCGGAAGGTTGCTGGTTCGAGTCCCGCTCAGTCTGTCGCTGTCGTTGTATCCTTGGGCAAGACACTTAACCCACGTTGCCTGCTGGTGGTGGTCGGAGGGACCGGTGGCGCCAGTGCTCGGCAGCCTCGCCTCTGTCAGTGCGCCCCAGGGCAGCTGTGGCTACATTGTAGCTCATCCCCACCAGTGTGTGAATGTGTGTGTGAATGGGTGAATGACTGATTGTGTTGTAAAGCACCTTGGGGGGTTCTAGGACTCTAGAAGGCGCTATATCAAATACAGGCCATTTACCATTTAATGTGGTACTGCTCATAAAATATGCATTTTTTTCTTTGCACAGTAAACAGGTTTACTAAATGAAATTGCCTGTGAATGCATACGCATTAACGTGTTTGAAAAAAGTCTGTTGATTTGTTTCTGTTTTTGTTAAATCATAAAAATAACAAACATGATGTCGTGTGATCTTTTACCACTCAGAGGTGTTGGGAGAGTTTTAGACACACAGTTTTGCACAATATTCGTAACATTGACTGAATTGAAGTTGTTTTATTGATTTTAATTCACTACGGAGGCCACCTTGGATAAGGTTGTCATTATAAATAATTACTCTTCGATAGATTTATGAAATACAGGAATGAAAACTAGGTAGGAGTTTTCCATTGGGTTCAAAGGTTGGATGCAGAATCTGGCATCTCATCACTTCAAGGTCAGCTTCACTGAAAAAACATGTTTTGATGATTATATTCACTCTGAGTGTTTCATGCAGGCTGAACATGAAAATAGTCTCCTACACCTATCTCCTGCATTAGCTTCTGATTGAAAATAGACAGTGAAACTCTAGGATTTGAAAATCCTGACAGATCACTTAACATTCAAGGACTCACCCATCTTGACTCATGACAGGGAAGACTGTTGTTGGTTTAGCGCCCAGGAAACATCAGAGAATGTTTTGGCTAGTAAAAGCTAACCATTAGCATTAGCAACTCCACCACACAGCAGAACTCCTCCAGGCTTGTGTTGTTTGTGGGGATAAAACATCAACGTTGCAAACAGAGTCATGTGGTAGTCGTGTTGCTGTTAGCCAATCAGAGGAGAAATTTCCAAATACAAGGAAAAAAAGACTACAAATCCTGCCCCTGAAGCTCTCCTCTGGCTGAATTCTCTATGCTGAAACAGGTGCACCGGAGTTTTTTACCCCAGATAATGACTTACAAGGCACTCATTCCTGCTACACACCACTGCAAATGTATTGAAAATATTAGTGATGTTGACCTTTGGGCTGCGCAGTGGCACAGTGGTTAGAGCTGTTGCCTTGCAGCAAGAAGGTCCTGGGCTCGCTTCCCGGCCTGGGATCTTTCTGCATGGAGTTTGCATGTTCTGCCTGTGCATGCATGGGCTCTCTCCGGGTACTCCGGCTTCCTCCCACAGTCCAAAAACATGACTATTAGGTTAATTGGTCTGTCTAAATTGTCCTTAGGTGTGAGTGTGTGTGTGTGTGCATGATTGTTTGTCCTGTGTGTCTCTGTGTTGCCCTGCGATGGACTGGCAACCTGTCCAGGGTGTACCCCGCCCGATTGCCCATTGACCGCTGGAGATAGGCACCAGCCCCCCCAGCGACCCTGCGTGGACAAAGCGGGTTCAGAAGATGGATGGATGGATGTTGACCTATGAAGAAGTATCTAAAATCTTAATTTGAGATGTCTGGATTGGACTCGTCAGCTCCACTAGCTCATCGAGTCAAAGTACTGGACTTAAACCCCCACATCATCTGAATGAAAACTTGGATAAAACTGTTTACGACGCCCGATGGAAATAAGTGTTACATGTTATGTAGAACACAACCCATGCTAAAAATGATCAACAGCTAAGTCAGTTTTGACCACATTTCAGATCAGGTAGTACATTTTAATGGAAAGTTGGTCTGATATATAAAGAACCTGAAACTTATCCTAGAGTTCTGGGATACTCTTTCTCTGCTTGATAGAAATGTGTGCTTCTCTGTTAGTTAAGACGTACCATAAGGAACGAGTATCCTATCCAAAGACTCCTCCAGCCACGGGGACACATGGGGATGGACAGGTCCTGACTATGGACCGCTACAGCCTGAGAGGGAGCCTCGCACACGGAACACCTGGAATATTCATAAAAATAAGAACAAACAATAAACACCCCAAAAATGATTTTAATGAAAGAATCAGTAACTTTCAGCACCTGCTGATGTAAGGCTGTATGCGACCCTCTGCCACAGGCATCATGGGTATGGGCTGAGTGGTGGAGAGCCAGTAGGACTTGTCGTTGCGACTCGCATAATAGCATGTCTCGGAAGGGTTACAGTAGAGGAAGGGGATAGTGCTGAACATGGGTAGGCATGACCCTGGTTGACCTGTAGACACATAGAAGCGTTATAGATCATCAGCAGACTAAAAGGAGGCTCTCGTTTTTTTCTTCTGTTTTAGCCAAGAAACCCCATTTTTCTGCTTGAGTAAGAAAAACGTGATCAGTATGTGGTGGCCAATGTTTGAAAGAAAAAGACAAATTTCTCACCAAGGTCTTGGTTGTGTGCCTTCTCCTGTCCCTCCACAAACAACAGGCTGTATCCATCCCACAGTTTGGCCATGCCCTGGGGACACATAGGGACCTGGGCATTCTGGCTGTGCTTCACCAGCGTATAGCCAACACTGACACTGCGGCTGAAGGTTCCTGGGAGGCCTGGGCGACCTGCAGCACCGGGGAAGCCTGAGGAAGAGATATACGACTGCATGTAAGAGGAGACAGATGATTTTGTGTTATACAGATTCAAGAAATCACATGGTTTCTTGGGGGTGAAAGAGTAACTGAAGACTCAGGACTATGAAACAAAAGAGGACTGAGCCTTGGAGCACTTAGGAAGTGACTGAATGTGGCTGAGAATTGGAAGGAAGTGATCCAAATAAACTGAGTGCAGTCACTTGAGTTATCCACTTCTTGTAGCTCATATAAAGGCTAGCAGTTAGCTTTTTCAGTTCACAGATAGTCAATAAAAATCACAAGAAAAAGAAGATTTTATCATTTTGTTACTTAAGCCTGGAAGTAAAAGTAAGAGCGTAATATCTTTGGAAGTGTAGCAAAGAGCTAAAACCAGAGTGAACGTTAGCATGGCCTACTAGCTTGAGGTAGCTAAAGGAAGCTACAAAATCACAAACTGATGGTGACCTGGCTTTGTTGCTACTGGACTTGTCAGTAATAATTATTTTGTCCAACAGTGTGGACCTTTTTACTTCATGGCTTATTTAGCATCAGTTGGGCTTGTGTTAGCATTAGCTCAGCAGTAGCATCATGACTGGTGACAGAAACAAGAAAAAGTTTTGGACACAAAAAAACAGAGACTGACCTTGTTGTCCAGTGAGCCCAGGGAAACCTGGAGCTCCAGGATCACCAACTGGCCCGGGAAACCCTGCAGATCCAGCTAGGCCAAGGCCACCTGGCAGTCCGGGACGACCCTTTGGACCTGAAGCAGTGCATTACTTAACGCAGGTCCAAGCAGCACACAGCTAAGTATTTGCAATATAACTCAATGCCTCTGTTCTTCTAGTTTTTCTTTAAATTTACAAAATACACATTCAGATCCAACAATCCCTTAGAACAAACAGCTTTGGTGATTACAGACCTGGACGTCCTGGAAAACCGGGCAGACCCAGCTCTCCAGCATAACCAGGTCGTCCGCTTTCACCAGGGAAACCTGGGTCTCCCAAATATTTCTCATAATCTTCAGGTGAACTGGGGAGCAGGACTCCAGGCTGACCCTTTGGTCCAATAATACCTGAGAAGAGGAAAACAAAACAACTCCAAGGACACCACTAAGATGAAGTAGCTGCACTTATTTTTGGACTCACAGAACCTCTCTTACATGTTTACGATCTACTTTAGGGTTGGGCATCGTTTGATTTTGAACGATTCCGATTGCGATTCCGATTCCAATTCCTCGTTTCGATTCCGGTTCCATACCATACCATACCATACCATACCATACCATACCATACCATACCATACCATACCATACCATACCATACCATACCATATTTATTTATAAAGCACCATTTCTAAATAGCATGGCAGCTAACCAAAGTGCTGTACATAAAATTGCCAAATACTTGAACAAGAAACACAATAAGAACAGGCAAAATACATAAGAAAAAAGCATAAATAGTCAGAGATAAAACTTCCTACTAAAAACAATAAAATAGGAGAAAAGTTAACAGCACTATCAAAAAATAAAATAATGCGACAAATGATAAAATAACATTTGAAATGGCACAAATAAAACCACATAAGCTACCAGATGGTGCGAGGTGCCAAAAGTGAGCTACTGAATCATGAAAACGAAATAAAAAAATCAAATTCGGTGCTGGATTTTCATGAAAAGTTGTGTCACGTAGGGAAGGCAATACTAAAGAGAGAGCCAGATGCACACGGAGGGGCAGAGAGTTCCAGAGTTTTGGGGCTGCATAAGAGAAGGCACACTCCCCCCATGATTTGTACCGAACCTTCGGAACAACAAGCAGCAGATGATCTGTTGACCAAAGGGCACGGGTGGGAACGGGGTTCGCAGGTCCATCAGATAGGATGGGGATGGACAGTACAAAGCCTTGTAAACATATAACAAGACCTTGAAGTTAATCCTAAATTTGACTGGGTGCCAGTGTAAATCTGCGAGGATAGGTGTGATGTGCATGCGTCTGTCGATGTTGGTTAAAAATCTGGCCGCGGCATTTTGAACCTTCTGCAATTTGCTTAAGGCTGAAGCATTAATCCCAATCAGGACAGAAATTGCGTAATCCAGACGTGAATTAATGAAAGCATGAATGACTGACTCAAGATCCGGGCGTTTGAGGATTGACTTAAGACGAGTGATGCGGCGGAGTAGGAAAAAGCAGGACTTGACAGTAGCGTTGACTTGTGAAGACATTGAAAGGTCAGAGTCCAGTTTCACAACTAGGCTAGTGGCACATGATTTGAGATTGAGTGGGAGAGTTGAGACATCTAAAGCACCATTGATGTTAGTGGGGCTAAAAAGTATGGCATCTGATTTGCTGTCATTTAACCGTAGGTAGTTTTGAGAAAGCCAGGATCTGACCTGGGAGAGGCATTCTGACATTATAGAAAATGAGTGCTGTTGGCTGATTTGAAGGTAGATCTGGCAATCATCTGCATAAAAGTGGTAGTTACCCCAAGACTTGCTAAAATCTTACCAAGTGGTAGCATGTAAATTGAAAAGAGGAGAGGACCCAAGATGGAGCCCTGCGGTACTCCCCATGGAAGTGGGACATTGGGAGAAGAGCAGTCTCCAACACGAACACTAAAACACCGACCGTTAAGGTATGACTTAAACCATTCGAGGGCAGTACCGGTCACACCCACCCAAAATTCAAGTCCGTGAGGTAGGATGGTGTGGTCTACTGTGTCGAATGCTGCGGTCAAGTCGAGTGACAGTAACAGCACATGGGAGCCAGAGTCAGTTAGAATCAGGATATCATTGAGGACCCGAATGTGTGCAGATTCTGTGCTGTAATTATGTCTAAAACCTGATTGGAATGGGTCAAGAAGCCCATTGTCATCTAGTGAGAAGTAAGCTGCGTGAGAGCCAGTTTCTCAATTACTTTTGAGATGAATGGAAGTTTTGAGATTGGGCGATAATTGGCACAGTCAGACTGGTCAAGGCCTGGTTTCTTTAATAGCGGCTGAACAACTGCATTTTTAAAAGCAGCTGGAAACACACCAGAGGAGAAGCTGGAATTGACAATATCCAAAACAGCAGAGGCCACCGCTGGAAGGTTCCTATTGATTCCCGATTCCGATTCTTTGAAGACATGACGTGTTACATGAGCCAGCTAACCACAGGTCCTACTTGATGAAATCTTAACTTCAACATGAATTCTAATTCTATGAACAACAACGTCACCTTCATTTAGACAAAAACATGTTTTGGAGAAAAAAAGAAAAAGACTTGCAGCACAACCAGTGTGTTTGTTTCTGACCACAACCAAAGTCTGGAAGAAGCTCTGGGATGAGAGGCTAAATGTCTCCAACATATCCAGAAATGTCCAGCTGTTTTCAGCTAAAACTCTCAGGATGATCATGTCCAGGATGACTGAGAACTACACCTCCATGCTGCAGCAGCATTCAGTCAGAACAGAAAGTGAAACTTAAATGTAGCTGCTGTCAGTAACAATCTAACAGATTTTAAACATTAAAACTCAACAGAAATAGTTCAGAAAGGAAATTAAAATGTTCACAACTTTGTGTGTGATTTATTATTATTATTATAATTATTTATTTTGGCAGAAGCTGGTGTGGTCCACCACAGATAAGCTTCTCTAGCATGACTTTAATTTCTACAGGTTATTGTTCAGCCTTCTGACGCTCCGTGTGTTTTTATTTCTGCAGTGAGACAAACTCACCTCAGACCGTCCAGAGTTTGTTCTTTAAAGCTTCTATTAAATACACCATGTTGACGTATTTTAACAAGTTTCCTCTACACTGCAGGAGTTAAAGTTTACATTACGGAGTAAAAGTTCGGCAGACCTGTGTTTATATGTGGCTGCTGCACGCCGGGTGGGGGGAGGGAAGACTCGGTGCTGCACACAGACAGCTGGTGTGATCAGCTCTGAAAAGCATTGATCACAATTTGCAGATCACGTTTATTTTTCACGGAGATCGGCCGTGGATTCCTCTTCCGTCGGCATTCTAGGAATCGGAACTAGGAATTGAAATAAAAAACGTTGAGCGATTCTGGGAAAAATGAACAGTTGGAACCGGTTCCAATCGATGCTTGATGCCCAACCGATGATAATAAGTAACCTCTTACCTGGTGGTCCTTTCAGTCCTTTAAATCCAGCAAAACCAGGCTCGCCGGGTTTACCCTTTGTACCAGGAACTCCATTTAAGGCAGTCTCCCCTGGAACCCCTGACATGATAGATGTAAGTGTTAAGTGTAGTTTATTCTCTTTTTGAACGGAGACTGACAACAATAACATCTGCATTTCTTGTTCATGTTGCTGCGCGCCATTCCACCTTTGAAACCAGGATTGCCAGGACGTCCAGGATTTCCAGGGAATCCAACTTCCCCCTTCCTGCCAGGGGCTCCAGGGAAGCCTGGGAGTCCTGGGTCACCTGTGTCTCCCTGTATTGTGCCTGGACCAGGTGGCCCGGGAGGACCTGGAGGACCCTGGAAACCTGATTCAGCGAGGAGAGTGTTGTAAGATAAGAGAGGGGAGAAGAAAACTGGGAGAGTTGGACAGTAAAGATGTATTCACCATATTCTCCATCCAATCCAGGAAGGCCTGGATCTCCTACAAGCCCAGGTAAGCCTGATTCTGCAGGTCTGCCAGGAGGTCCAGGCAGTCCAAGGAACCCAGGAAGTCCAGGGGTGCCTGAAACATAAAATGTATATTTATAAAAACTTATTAATCATAATTTTTTTATACCTTTCATGACTTCCTGCTCCAAAATCCAGCTCACCTGGCTCTCCTTTTAGCCCCTTCGATCCAGGAAAGCCTGGCATTCCAGGGTAGGAGACACCTCTGTCTCCCTTAAATCCTGGACTACCAGGGACCCCAGGGAGGCCTCCGATAACCGCACCTGAAAGCAAACATTCCAAAAAGTTGAACAGCAGTTCATCTTTAAAGTTTAGAAAGTTCTGCTGATGATGAGAGACGGACTAGTTTAATTGTCCAATATAATCCCTGCCTTTAGTTCCTGGAAGGCCTTTTGGACCAGCCAGTCCATTTAGTCCATCCAAACCTGGAGCTCCAAGCAGACCTGGGAAAACAAGACAATGTGAGAACACCTATAAACAGTCTTTACACAAACTCCCATAGATTCTACATCACCTTTCACCCCTGGACCACCAGGGATCCCAGGCAGACCTGGTGATCCATCTGGTCCTGGTCTCCCTGGGAATCCTGGCTGACCACTTGAACCAAGGAAACCAGGGGCTCCTAGAAAAGATTAGGTAAGTGTGAATGTATCTCCATGTCTTGAAGGAGCATTTATATTAAATCACATCAGATTGTCTTTGGGTTTGTCTCTCACCTCTTATTCCAGGCCTTCCTGTTTCACCAGAATACCCCTTTTCTCCAGACAAACCTCGATATCCTGGAACTCCGGTATCCCCAGGAAAGCCGTTATTTCCTGGAGCACCTACAAAAACACAACAGATATGAAATGACCAATCAACAACTGGAGAATCCTAACAAACCTAACATTTCACCCAACATAAGATACATACTTTTACATTGTCTTAACTTCGTATCTCAACGTTATTTTGTTGCGATACCAATGCAACATTTACTAAAGAGAAAACTGAACAGCCTTAAACTTAACGGGGTTCAACAAGGCTCTGTGTTTGGAGAGTGACTGGTTTCAGAACAGTTTAGATGGTACCTTATTGACTATATAACTGCTTGCGTAAAAGCTTGGATCACACGGCAAGATAATTATGCAGATTTCTGAACCAATTCTTTCCTTCTGAGAACCTTCAGGACAAGCCCAATTGTCTAAAGATAATATTATTTGATACTATAGCTGTCTGTGGTGAGTCAAGAGTGTCCTGGTCTTCATGGAAGACGTTGGAACAGATCAAATCACAAAGAAGCAATTTTCAACATGTTTGTTTGTCTTGCCCTGATGTTGAAGAGTGTGTGGTCTGCCCAAAGGACAAACAATCTGTGTGCAATCAGATAAGAAGCAAGTGTATTCCCAATCCTCGTCCTCATCTCTGAAATCGAGAAGTTTTGCTAAATTTCTCGTATGACCAGGGAATGCTCGTGAGTAAAATGTGTTTGTGTCTGGTGTGTTGTCTTTGTTGTGTAGTAACACACCAGAAACTGTCGGATCAAAACTGTTACATCCGTGATTATTTTACCTCCGTGTGTGGGAACATCCAACTTATTGTAAAACCTGGCCGTGTGACCTGGGCCTAAAAGGCCTAAGTCGTTCTCTATATGAGTAAGAAAGCTTTATAAACTTCAACACAATGATCGTCTCAGAGGAACTCATAAACGAGGAAACCAGAACTGACATATAAAAAGGATACAAGATCTTTAGAGTAATATTCAGAAGAACTGCAAATGTAGCTTTATCAATGTTATGGATTTGTAACGCAACCAAAACAAAGCTTGACAAGTCTTACCCGGAAAACCTGAATCTCCTGACTGGCCTTTGATTCCTGGTGCTCCAGGAAAACCAAAAGCTTCTCCAGGCAGACCTGAGCAACAAAACGTGACTCCATGTTATCCATAGTTAAACTTCAACAGACATAAGCTGGAATCTGCAGACTGAACACATGTATCGTCAGAAATCCATCCTTCTTTCTCACCTTTGGAACCAGGTCGACCAGGTTCTCCAGGGTTGCCAGGGAAACCAGGTGGACCGTCATCACCCTGAAAAAGCAATCAGAACCCTACATCCTACCACCACAACAAGCTGAATGTTGGTGTGTGCAATCCTGTGTGTTTTCTCACCCTTTGTCCTGGAGTGCCTGGGAATCCGATGATTCCAAGCTCTCCTTTTGGTCCAAAATAGCCTGGAAGTCCAGGCTGTCCTGGAAAACCTGGCTCTCCAGGCTGCCCTTTGCTTTGCTCAGGAAATCCAGGAAGTCCAGGCAGCCCCTGACGACCAGGCAGACCTGGGAGACCCTTGTCACCTTTGAACCAGATACAGATGATGCAGATGCACAGGTAAAAAACGTGCTCCACGCTGAAAACGCCCTAATCATGATTTCTAATTAAAGCTGTAATGATTGAAAAACCTAGTAAAGAAAAGACACGCACAAAAGGTGGCAGGAATTCTGACATATATTCATATTGTATTCAGTAGAAAACAGATGGACTTGTTACCTCTGGGCCCAGTGAAACCTTGAGCACCGCTGGATCCGGGGTTTCCTCGTGCACCCTTTAAAAAAACCCCTGGTGGAGCGGGGGAGCCAGGAGGACCCTGTTCTCCTCTCTCACCTACAAAAGTACAAACATGGATGTGCTTGTCAAACCCACAGTTTGCTCCTGATCCTTTCATTTAACTGGGATCTGATCCTGAGCTAAGGGCTCGCCAGTCTTCTACTTGCCTTTCTGGCTGAAGAGTCCAGGTCTGCCGGGAAACCCATCTCTCCCAAGCTCACCAGGCTGTCCTTTTACTCCAGGAAATCCCGGAGCTCCAGAGCGGCCTGGCAGTCCAGGGAAGCCAGTCAGTCCTGGTAAACCTCGTACACCTGAAGAAATCAACACAATCAGGGTTTTGATAGTACGTGTAAGAAGATGTGAAGTTAGACAGATCCTATCGTGTCTTACCCTTTATTCCTGTTGTTCCTGGGATTCCCGGTATTGTTCCTGGCCCCGGAGGTCCAGGGGGTCCCACTGGTCCTGGTGCTCCAAGTAGGCCAGGAAACCCGGGGGTTCCTTTCATTCCCGCGGGTCCTGGGAAACCTGGGTCTCCTCTCTGTCCTTTCTGACCAGGATAAGCTGACCATGATGGGAGTTCAGACGAGACAATTAATCAGACCAAACTTACAAATAAACTTAATAAATAAATAAATAATAATTAATAATAATAATTATTATGAAAATGTCACTTCTGTTGCAACAAACTAATTACAAACAGCAAATCCTGATAAATAAACAATTTAAAAACAAAATCAACTTAAACTTTAAATATTTATTCACAAAAATGATCATGACAGAAAATGAGCCGTGTGAGAAACTGCAGCCAACAATGTAACCACAGATGTTCGCTTACATTGTGTTAATGTCTTGATTATGCTGCAATTGCACTTTTTTGTGATAAAGACCCACCAGCATGTTGCTCCTTTAGATACATAAAGTATCTGTGGATTTTACGGGTTAAACTTACAGAAAAGACTTTGAGTGCAATTCCAGCCTGAATCAGCGAGGCTCTGCCACCTGAGGTGTTTCCTACAGAACAGCAGGCTAAAAGCTACTGTTTACACTGCTTAAAAAGGACCTGTGCTCAACACATCCGTGCTGCAGCGTTAGTAAAACGGCAGATTTAGAAAATCTGACACTAATTTGAGTTCACACAACGATGTGCTGCGAATGGCAAGGTCCTTTTAAGAGCATGGAGGAGAAAAAATAAGCCTTTGCACTCAGCGCAGCCGTCACAGAGTTAAATAGCAAAAATCTTAGTAAACAAAGTTACTGCTGTTAATTCAGTAAAAAAATGGCGTTGATTAGATGTAAAACTGAAACATGAGGGTTAGGTCTGACTATAAGATCAATAATAAAAAAAGGAAGCACATTTTTTAAGAGAATATTTTGCTTCTGATGAGTTAGAGTCATAGTTTGGAGGAATGTGTTTGAACAAACAGTACCTTACCTGTTGTAGATTGCTCTTTGAACAACCTCAGTTTGGAAAAAAAATGAGCTCTAAATGAAATTTAGTTCACAGCAAGCCTGAGCAGAACCAAACCACAGCTTTAATATATAACATAGCATGGGGATTCATGCAAACTTTTAAATGCTGAAGAACACACAGTTATTTAGTCTGAGCAGAACCTCCCTGAACCGTCTACAGGTGGTTCAGAATGCCTGTGTTCAGCTTCTGACCAAGTCCTCCAAACACACCCACATCACCCAGCTTCACCCAGCTTTTGCTGCTGTGGCCCCCAGACTCTGGAACTCTCTCCCCCCGAGCCTGAGATCAGTGGACTCAGTGGACTCCTTCAAAAAGCAGCTGAAAACTCACTTGTTCAGGCTGGTTTTGGTGTGACCTTCTTCACCCTCTCCTTGTTCTGCTTTCTCTTTTCCTTTCCTTACATTTTTTAATCACAATTTTTTCTCATTTTAACAATGTTTATTTTTTCTTAATCATTAAAAAATGTTTTTTATATGTTTAATTTTTTTGTTGTTGTGAAGCACCTTGTGATTTTTATCTTGAGAGGTGCTATATAAAAGATCTCTCTCTCTCTCTCTCTCTCTCTCTCTCTCTCTCTCTCTCTCTCTCTCTCTCTCTCTCTCTCTCTCTCTCTCTCTCTCACTGATGGAAAATCTCCTTTATTTTGAAATCCACAACTTGGCAGATCTGCTCAGAACAAATGAGTTAGAGATGTTCGATGTTTATTGTATCGCAACACATTCTCACACCCGAAGCATCAAAAATGAAGCTGGGTGACCAAGCCTTGTGCCAGAGAGTCTTTTTCCGACTGCCGTGGTAAAACGAAGATTTCAAAGAATTTTGAACCTTACTCTCTGATTTAACCTTCCCCTCACCCCCATCCTAACCTTAACCCTTTTGCGCTTGCAAAACTTTGTTTCTAGTTGTAACGTCCCTCTCAAACACGGTTAACGGAAAGTTTAGAACGAGAAACTGGGTTAAGGTTAGGATGGGGTGAGGGGAAGGTTCTATAGCAAGAGGTTACATGTTGGTGAAATGTGTTTTACCACGGGCGTCGCAAACCAATGCTTTCAATCAATCAAAATTTATGAAGCGCTGTTCATACAAATGCAGCTCAAAGCGCTTTACAATATTAAAAACAACCAGACAGCAGTCGGTTTCCCACCCCTCCCACACAGATTCACATAAGAGATCCCCTTTGTATCTCCCTCCTCCCACCCTCAATCCCATCCGAAGCAGATGCAAACTCCCGCACGTGCACACACACGTACACACACACGCACACACGTAATAGAGAAAGGGCCGCTGGCTGAGTGCAGATGTAGTCGGTATAAAGAAGACGAAAACGCCATCAAAGGAGCCAACTGCACCAGGGGCAGCAAGACTGGCAGCAATAGCCTTGCCAAGAGTAGGCACGGGAAGCACCCCGGCCGCCACAGCCTACCGCTGCCCCCAGGGCAGCCAGCCCCCACAGAGGAAACACTAGTTTACTAATAAGACTAAAATAACAAGTTAAGAAACAAATTAAACATAAACAGCTGATAAATAAAAATCTAAATAAAACACAGTGATAAAAGATGACCAAGTAGAAACATAATTAATTTTATAAAATATTGTACAACAAAGTATTAAGACTGGTTTAAACTAATAATTATTACAAGTTAAAATAAATATGTAAGAAAATATGTGTTATTTAATTAAATGAGTAAGTAATAAATAAAATATATAAAAGATGGTAAAAACAAGCTAATATAGATCAAAATCACTTAAAAGCTATACTAAAAAGGTGAGTCTTGAGCCTGACCTTAAAAAACAAGAACTCAGTAGCCGACGCATTGAAACTCTCAGTTTCTGTGGGAAAAAAAACTCTGCTGCTCCTGTTTCAGGAAGTAGAAGTTTGTCAGAGGAGTGGATTTTGAGTCTTACTCATTGATATTCATGGTGTGCAAACTTATTCCCTCTGCTTAGCTAAGCAACGCGACCACTCTGCTGCCCAGGTTCATTGCAATGCTGATGTTTTATCTTCACAAATAACTCAAGCCTGAATGTGTTGCGCCATGCTGTGGAATTGGTTATGCTAACAGTTAGCTTATATAAGTCGAGACACGCTCCTGATTATATTTGAAAAAAAAAAAACCAAACAAGTGTTATATTGCCGCTTACACATTAGCGTCGGTACAGTCGGAGCAGGATAGCATCAGTTCGGTCTCAAATACCAATTTCTGCTCCCGTACCTGATTGTACCAGCGCTAATGTGTACGTGGCTAAAGTTTCTCAGTGAACCTCACTTTTAAGCATCACCTGGACACCTTACCATGGGTAGCCGGTAGCTTGTCATTCAAAACTAACGCTTTTCCTACAAACTGAGGTTGTTCCCAGAGCTACCAACAAGTTGGGAAATTTTGATGACATTTCTTTAGAAACCAACTTCCAAAGACTTGAACAGTTGGTTTAAATCCATCTCAAGTCAAGTTCAACTGAGTCTTTGCACTGGGTGTGATGAACTTGTTTTTTCCAAGAACCATGATTTTGCATATTTTAAAGGTGTAATCTGTGGCTTTTCTGTATTCATCAAAAGTCTATTGCAAAGGCTGCAGCTGAAAGCACGGCTACTATATTGTTATTAGCTTTGTCTTGTTGCTTCATTCAAGAAGGCGAAAAGAGTGACAGAAGTCATTGTAAAAATGCTTAGCTGCTAATATTATAACCATGAAAAAAGCAAATGTTAACAGAAATCAGACCAGTTGAATGTACCATCCAAGACTGATCTTTCCCGCTTGATTACACAAAAATATTGTTACTGGACCAAAAAGTCACAGAATGCTGAATTATCTCAAACATGTCTAAAAATAACCAAAACTAACTTGTTTTTAAATAGTAACACTTATGCTACACTGTTGATCTGCCCTATTTATGTACAGTAGATGGGCATTAGCTTGCATAATGATGCAAAATAAAGCAAATCCTGGAGCTTTCGTTGGAGAATAGCAGTTGAAGGTTAAAGGCATGAGTAGCAGAAGCATGCTGGGATCAAAGCAAAGGTTAGAGCGGACAGATAAAGAGGTGAACAATGGACGGAGAGAGAGAGTGTCTCACCTGGGCAGCCTACATCGAATTACCCAAAACCAAGAAGGAAAAGGATGGAGGGATGAGAGGATGCATGGAGATGATGGTGGTGGTGCATGTAGGATAGATATAAGGAGGGAAAAAACAAGGGAACAAGGCGAAAACACAAAGCAAAAGAAGACATTTGTTGGGTGATGAAGAACTTCAATACAACATGGAACATAACGTGCCATCTGATGGAGGATGTGAAAGGAATATGATGAGAAACAGAAGGACGGACTGACACTGGGAAAACTGGAGGGATGAGAGGTAAACAATATTAGATGAAATCAAATGAAAATCATCTTTAATTGAAACTGAACAGCACCAATCTGAAAACCTTCTACAACTCTTGAATAATAACGAAACTCTTGTTAATTTCTTTTTTTTTTTTCTCACCTGGGGGTCCAGCCAGTCCTTTGCTACCGGGAGGGCCAGGCGGACCGGGAACGGCACCAATTGGCTCTCCTGGAATTCCAGGGAGACCAGGAATACCAGGAAACCCATCAACTCCACGCTCTCCCTTCAGACCAAGAACCCCAGGTTGCCCGTCAAAACCTGACACACACAAATAAAGTTTTTTGTGTCTAATATTGCTGCTTCTACCAAAACATTATGGTTAGTTAACAAGTTAGAAACACTAGATGTCTGTTTGTTGTCATTCTTGTTGGAGCTAACGATTCATTCAAGTATTTCTTCACAATTTCTTTCACCATCACCACCAGCATCCCACTGCTCCTGCATGTTGTTTATGGCAACATCAATTTAAATAAATAAACAAGTAAATAAAAATGAATATGAATAGTATTAGGAGTCAGAAATTCAATGACATCTCAACCCATTTATGTTTCATAGAACCATCTTATGTAATAAATTGTATGGTCCAAATGGTCCTTGTTTGTTCAAAACTGCTACCAGGAAGCTGCCATCATAAATAAAATGTTGTATGTCAAAATGATTATCACAAATTTCCTTTAAGTGGGCTACTTTTGTTGTTTCAATAAAGATGCATGCTGAATCTTTAATATTCAGCATGAACGTGAAAGTCCGTGACCAACCATTTTCCAAAAAGAACAACATTACACAGTTCCGTGAACCTCCGGTTTAAAACTAGGTGATCTTATTGTTGATTATTACTATCACTGCTTCATTAAAACATGTCATTTGTTTCCACCTCAGACCCACCAGGTGATCCGGGTGGTCCCAAAGTCCCTGGTTGACCCTTGTCTCCAATTATTCCAAATGTGCCATCCGCTCCGGGAATTCCAGGTGTTGCTCCAAGAATCTCTCCAGGCTGTCCTTTGGGTCCACGGATTCCTGGAACTCCATCCTTCCCTTTGGGTCCATCAAAACTCTGTCCGTGTATACCTGGAATTCCAGGGTCTCCTCTGGGTCCAGGAAAACCTTCAGGAAAGGCACAGAATAAAAAGAACATTGGTACACTCAACACACTGAAATATCAGTAAATCAATATTTGTAATCTTAGCACTGATGTACAACAAATTATAGTTTTGGTTTGTGATGGATGCAAACCCTAACACAGTTTTACCTTGTGGCCCAGGTTGGCCACCAAACCCTGGATCTCCTTTATCTCCTTTGGGGCCATCAAACCCTGGACGTCCAGCGCTTCCTGGGATCCCCAACTGACCCTTAGGGCCTAAAAGAGACACACACTGAACGCTTGAGTTTGAAAATTAGTCTCTAATTCGAATGCCTTCTAACTGCTGGTGGTGGTCAGAGGGACCGGTGGCTCCAGTGCTCGGCAGCCTTGCCTCTGTCAGCGCGCCCCAGGGCAGCTGTGGCTACATCGTTGCTCATCCACACCAGCGCGTGAATGTGTGTGCGAATGACTGATTTTGTTGTAAAGCGTCTTGGGTGTGTGTGTGTGTGTGAGGGTGGGGGGTGTGTGTGGGGGGGATAAGAGAAATACTGCGGAAAGATGCTTGAATTATTTTTAAACGGTCAGGCGTACACTGTGCGACTTTTTCACTTTTTTTTATCCGATTTTCCTCTCGTGCGAGAATCCACGAGATCGGGGCGAGTTTTGCGCTGAGCGTCGTGTAGTATACAAGGGGGTTACGAGAAGCGATTAACACCACGTGACCAGCTACCGATCAGCAATCGTGAGCTCGCACGGACTTCAGGAGTGTTTGAAATTTTGCTCGTTCCTCGTGAAGGTTGAAGCGGCGCAGCGAGCGGCTGCGACCCAAAAAGTACCAGAACCGCTCACGGCGCAAGTGCAGTCATGCATCAACGCCGCTCGCCCGCCATTTCCCTAATGTCATACAACTTTTAAACCTAATTAAAGATCAATAACATAAAGCTTGTACTGTGTAGAGTAAGTCTTGAAAAAAAACCTTTCATCTCTTTCATAACAGTGATCAAAGCGTATACCAGTGAGAAGGTGGACAATATGTGTATGTTACCTGGTGTTCCGGGTACACCTTGAAACCCGGGTTCTCCATCTTCACCAGGTATGGTACATGGCAGCCTATCACCTGGCAGCAGTCACACACAGGTTAATACTCCATTTACAGACTTTATCACAAAAATACAGTGAACACATCAAAACTCAGAATTAAAAATACTGAAATTAGTCACATCTAGGTAATACTTGTGTAAACAAGATAAACAGAAGCTTAAAAGAAACGTATTTAAAAAATCCACGTTGTTTCCATTCCTTCATAACTTATACTTTAGTCAGTTTATAAAACATCTTGATTACCATCTAAATTTAGAAAAAACAACAACTCAATTAAAGTTCAAATAAAAAAATTGTCTGATGAATTGAAGTATTGATTGCCTGACACTTTCATTCACACTAACAAGTGTTTAACTGGATCAGTTTAGAGCTGTTAAATGCTGTTAGTAGCAAACAAATGCATGGCAGATGAAGAAAGGATTGAAACAGTAGACGGTTATGGGCGTTGTCTCTGTGATCAGCTGTTTCCTTCCCAGTGGCCCTGGACCTGGTTAAAAGCATTGAGCAGAAGCAGGGCATTCAAACATGCACCTGGTTTCAGCAGCTTTCACTGGAAACAGACTCAGAACGAAAACCCTGAGATTCTGGAAGTGGGACAGTTCCACTGGTTTGTCTCGAGTCAGTCATCCATAGGCAGACAAAATGAGCAGAAATGATAGAAATTCTGGGTTGCCAGACGGGCAAAGCTCGTTTTTAATTCCTCCTTGTAAATAGACTTAACCGCTTAGCAGAGGTGTGACCAAGTCACTGCTTTGCAAGTCAGAAGTAAGTCACAAGTCTTTCCAGTCAAGTCTCAAGTCAAGTCCACGTCAAAGACAGCCAAGTCCAAGTCGAGTCCAACTCTTTAACTTAGAATTTTCTAGTCATAATCAAGTCATCTGTCCAACTTCAATTTAATGACAATGACAATAAATAAATTCCAGAAATAAAGCTTCTTAAAGCTTCATTTATTTGCTCAAACAAGCAGAAAGTGCAACAGAAACGGATTCTAAACAAAGTGCCGCTGCATTTAACAGTACGGGATCAAAACCAAAAATGATTTGTGATTTTTGTCCATGTCGTGCCATTTTTGTGCTAAAATTTCAAATATTGCCAAGTCATAATCAAATCAACAGATGCAAGTCAATTCAAGTCGCAAGTCACTGGCGTTCAAGTCCAAGTCAAGTCGTAAGTCTTTACAGATTTTATCAAGTCAGAAGTCATTAAAATAATGACTCAAGTCTGACTCGAATCCAAGTCATGTGATTCGAGTCCACACCTTTGCCCCTAAGCATTCCAGCGTCCCGTCGGTGGGATTTAATATTTTCTGATGTTAATCTAATTCTGCTTTGAGATCATTAGGATTTCATGTCTTTGTTTTATTTTGTTTTGATCTATGTGAAAAACTTTGTGATTCTATGTCTGTGATAAGTGCTATAGAAATAAAATGTACTCACTTACAAAACCCCACTGCATTCATTAAACCTGGAAATTAAATCTGCACGTTTGTGTGATATTGATTATTCAGCATGTTCGATAATACCGGCCTACCGATATTATTTGTTGATATTATTAAAAGGTAATATCAGAAATTATCCTATCTGTATATCGGTAAAATAGCCTATTTCAAAAATCCCTACAAATATATAAAGTAACAATTTAAATATTTTTCACTTACAATTAAAATTCTATTATTGAATCAAGAAATGTGCTAAAAAAATTTGTACATCTGTCCAATCCAGGGTTTAAATTGTGGGGGAGCTTAGGGGAGTGCGCTTCCCCTGAAAGGGTAATGGGCTAACCTAACCCGAACCCCAAAGCCATCAACTGTCACACCAAGTTTGCTATCATAGAGGCCCTCATACACGCCACGTAGATGGACCGAAACCCCCCTTATCGAGACTGAATGCCCACCCCTCCCCTCGATCCTACAGAGGCTGGACGAGGAGCTCCCCATAAAAACAGAGTGTAATTCGAACCATGGTCCAATCACACTCCCCACCTCATACATAGCCGTGTTACGTTTTGCACTTATCATCTTACTGGGTCCTTTTGACCATTTTTAATGATGCAGATAAAACCAGATGTGACGCAGGCAGAGGGAGTCCTGTTAGCCTGATCCAGAGAAAAATATGGATTCTAATGCCGGCCCTGACTCAGAGGAAACTTTACATGTTTATAATTATACTTATGGTGGACCACAACCACACAGTTATGAGCCTGTTGCACGCCCCAGAGAGCAGAGGAAAATGTGTTTTTAGAAGCTTTTCTGAATTAGGCCACTTTTAACTCAAAATAAGGGGCCTTCATTTATTGTAAAACAAAAACAAAAAAAACACTATAAGTGTTACAAATATTGTCTTTTGGACAGAATTTTATTTGAAATAAAAATAAAATTTGACCTGCAATTTTCTCTTTAAACCCAATGCAAACTCCACAACAGCAAAAATGGTTTCTAAAATGTCATTCGCATGGACCGCTGTGGAGCTTAGGATTGACTGAGTTGTTTTAAGATGTCAGCAATCAGCTTTGGAGAATCCTTTTGCAAGTGACCAAACCTGCAACAATGATCATCTAGTGGAGGAATTGTCATAGGTAAACTCCGCTCCATGGTTTCATTAGGTTTGTTTAGAAGTTGTCTTAGGCATCCACCAGTTTTGTGGGCTAAACCTACACACCCCATTCCAGACTCTGCTCTCTGATTGGTGGTCAAGAAAGTTAGTTACCCACCCGTTCCCTCTCCGGCGTCATAAACCCCTCCACAGCTGTTTTCACCTGGACAGATACACATGCACAACGAAGGTGAGGAAAATGGAGGGATAAGAGATGGAGGGATGGAGGGATAACAGACAGCAGCATACAAAGCCAGTCAGAGACACTTGCATGTGCCAATAAAGCAACGATTAATAAAGAATCAAACAGTAATCGGCAAAGTAGCAGTTTCAGTAAATTAAGTTAGGGCTCATTGGGTTAAGGTAGAAGCCTAATTAAACACATGCTTTAGTGTCAAAAGGGTGCAATTATCATCACCAGGTGAGGGGAGAGAAGGGGGCACAGTGTCACTGAACTGTTGCCTCGTCCTCCCTCAGTCGGAGTGACAATAACTTTTATATGAAAAGCAAAAAAAAAAAAAAAAGTAAATAAATCACTCAAATCAGCTGATCTGCATTAGCATTCTGCTGCAAGAGCACACATTCATAGGGAGACGAAGCCAAGCGGCAGCTGGAGATTTGTGATGTTTAGTCTCAGAGAGCAAGAGCTAAAGAGTAAATGAATAAATTCAACGTCGATACAGTGTTGATTTTTCTTTCTTTATTGGCTTACAGACTTTGGAAGGTGGGGTAGACTACAGCCACCCCGGGACACAGAACAAAAAAAATCTACTCTTGGTGTGTTTTCTTTGAGTGAGTTTCACCACATTTAAGGCTTTTATCTGAAATCCATAAAAACAAATGGATTTCTGAAATGCACAGTGTGTTATGCTGTTATTTAAAGGGAAAGCCTTAATAATCTGTGCAGGTTTTCCTGAAAGCACATCGCTTAATGATTTGAAAGGAAGTTCATAATTTCAGAAATTTTCTTCTGTTGATTATCAGTGGAGTGTCTAGAAAACGTTTTTGGGGCACACATTTGGACAAGGGTGGCATGAAAACAGACAGAAATGAAGGAGCCAACATTTTGATGCAACAATTCTTCACTGGACCATCATCTTTTATGGATGTTGTATTATACTGAATGTGAATGAAAGAACAAAAAATAATCAACGCTGTGCAGAGAGCAACAATACCATTGAAAGGAACAGAGCATTTCTCTCTGTAAAATAAAGACCCAACAGGAAACTTGAACCTCGCCTACAGGTGACTCGTAGCTCTGTCAGTCTGACTGATGTCGATGTTCTCTTTTCCTCTGAGACTAAACAGTACAACAGCTGTTGCTTATGTCAGTGTTAAAAATAGCATCATTCTCTATCAATCGGTCCGTTAAAAGAGCATTTTATGGATTATAGATTGTTGTCCACAGAGAAAAGTAACAGAGCACATTGATGGAGACCATTAATCAAATAGTGAATAGTGTGCAGCTGAGGCATGAAGGGCAGGAAGCTGTTAAGCAGAGAAACCCTAACAGGAGGACATGCCGTCCTTTTGGGTCTAAGTTTGACTCGTTCTGCAACAAAGATGGACCCGCACGTGTTTGTCCTGAAGAAATGACCTTCGGTGCTTAAAAGATGTTAGGATGCTATGGAAGCTAATGTGCCGGTGCTTGGGTCGGTTGTAATGCCGTGTCAAAAGTGCTCTATAAATAAAGTGGAATGGTATGGTACCCAGATTCTGAACAAAGGTGAGATGGATGTACAGTTGTGACTTCATCCTGTGGGGGGAATGTTTTATAGCATTCTCTCACTCATACACTCTCCAACAACCAAGCGTAGCAGTCTTGTTGCTTCATTACTAACCTTTGGGTCCGGGTAGACCGGGTTGCCCAGGAAATCCAGGCATTCCGGGTTCTCCGGGCTCTCCACGAAGGCCGGGTGCTCCGGCAAAACCAATGCCAGGCTCACCAAGTCCACCAGGCAGACCTTTGGCCCCTGGGAATCCAGGGAAACCTTTCTCTCCAACTGTTCCAACACCTCCATCACCCTGGAGTGGAAATCAAACAAGAAGGAAAGAAAAACAAATAAACAAGCAGAGAAATGATGTCAAGAAGAACGCAAAAGCAGAGAGTAAGAGCCAAAGGTGACAATCTTCATATGAAAAAAACATTTCTTCTGTTACAAATTCTTACTGGGGGTCCTGGAAGTCCTCGGATGCCAGGTAGCCCATCTCTGCCAGGTCTCCCTGTTTCTCCTGTGGGTCCTCTGGGTCCAGGAGCCCCTCGTTCTCCTTTTACTCCAAAATCTAAGTTGGGGTAGTACGGCTCCCCCTTCTCTCCTTTACGACCAAAGAAACCCCTCTCACCAGAACGACCCTGCAGAAAAGACAGAGGACAACTTTCAATAAGACTTCAGGAACTTTGACTCAAGTGTTTTCGGTTGTATGGCTTTCTATTAACGGTAAAGTTAAATGTTCTTACTTGAGGCCCTGGTTCTCCGTTAAAACCAGGAGAGCCGGTGTCACCGGGCTCACCCTTCCGTCCATTGAAGCCGGGGCTGCCATTGACTCCTGGGGGTCCAGGTAGCCCTTTTAACCCCACAGAACCTCCTCCTTGACAGTTACAGTCACCAGGATCACCTGTGAGATAGAGAGGTTCAGAAATGGACCGGAAGACGGGTTGATGGGGTGAATACGGGATGAAAACAAGAGAGAAGAGAATAAACAGCGATTAGAAGTAAAAGTATGGAGAATAAAAATTCAATATTTCTTTGTTTGCTCTACAAAGAGACTGCGTGTGATTTAAGCCTGAACAGAAACCCAAACTAGACACATCAGCTCAACACAAAGTGTCTTTAAAATGATAAATTTGTACCTCTGAAGCCTTTGAACCCAGTGTTTCCCGGAGCTCCTATGCGGCCAGGAGGCCCTGGTAGGCCAGGGATACTAATGGTTTCACCAGGAAAAGCTGCAAGCACACAAACTGGCTAAGTTATAAAAACTAGATGCCAAAATGTTACATTCATTAGCCATTATCAAACAAATAGTTCTGTTTTTAGTAGAAATTACACTGTTGAAAATTAAGCTGACTTGCATCTGCTTAGGTATGGATAGCAATTTACCAATGGATATCAAAGGCATGTTCTTGGAGGATCTGCTTTCCTCCAAAACATGCAGTAACATCTACTTATTTTGAGCACAGATGTGGGATTTGATTAAACCAATGCAAGAGCAGCTGAGTTTTACAGTGTAAAATCTGGGTTAGTTTTCTCCATTCTTCCATAAGGTTTGAGCTGCTGGCGCAAGATGAGAGGCTCCTTTTAAAAAGCATTGAAGTCAAGTTATTTATTTTACATTGTATTGTAACATAAACAGAAATGTTTTTGGCAAGAACCAAGTCACTGATTTTACATAGATTGCAGAGGCTGAGAGCTACTTGTCACTAGCTACTTGCAGTGTTTAACTGGTTGTCACCTATGGGCCCCTTCACACAGAATCAAAACCTCCCTGTGAAGTTTAACAACAGGTTGGTCTGCAGATGGATGTTTTCAGCAGGGTTTTCTGGTGCTGTGTGATCGAAAAGTATTTGCTCCCTTGCAGTTTTCTTCTGATTTTGCTCTAAAAACAACAGCTTATGCCCATTGTGAAGCAGTTTAAAAACATGGTGTCAAGCGTTGTGGTGGTGGTGTGATGGTCTGGGGAAGCTTTGCTCATGCCCTGGGTTCTCCACAGCACTTGAATGGGAAAAAAAAGTGCGGGTATTCCCCTTAAGCTTGGTTTATGCTTGACGCATTTATTTTCCGCGCGGTGATGCAGCTCGCGGATGGAACGCGCTTCACAACTTGCAGCATTTATGGTTCATGCGGCTCGTCTCTGCGGTGAGCCAATATTCTCCCAAACTGAACGGGGCAGCATGGAGCTCTACGGCATGCATCCAACATTACACCATAGTAGAAGTAGAAATGACTGTTGTTTACAACATGGCATTCCAGCATTTTTAACAGCGTTCTCGTCTTTTCCGACAGTGCGAGCTATTTCTCTCCAAGAATTATTAACAATCACGGTGATCTCTGAGAGCTGAATCATACAAATGTCTGTATTTACGAACCTCTGCCATACTAGTTCTTGCCAGTACGCCATGTTTTTCCGCGTCCGACCATCCGCGTGTTTAGAAAATTTCCTAGGTGTGCGGTGCGGAAAGTTTGGGCCGTGCGGAGGCGCGGTGGAGGGGCGTGGTTGGTAAAATGATGCAATTTTGTCGTGCGGAGCCGTGCGGACCTCGCAGACACGTCAAGCATAAATCAACCCTTAGAAAGAGGTCACGCAGGGTAACATGGATGGCTGTGGTTTACCTGAAGATGGACAGATTTTCTTTAAGTGATTTCAGAGAGGTCTGCACAGTGGTACAGTGGTTGGTGCTGTTGCCTTGCAGCAATGAGGTCCTGGGTTCACATCGTGGCCTGGGGAATGCTTACATAGAGCTGAAGTTTGCATGTTCTCCCTGTGCATGCGTGGGTTCTCTCCGGGTACTCCGGTTTCCTCCCACGGCCCAAAAATATAACTGTCAGGTTGATTGGTCTCTCTAAATTATCCTTAGGTGTGTGTGCATGGTTGTTTGCTTTGTATGTCTCTGTGTTGCCTGGCAATGGACTGGCAACATGTCCAAGGTGTACCTCACCTGTTTGCCTGAAGACAGCTTCAGATAGGCTGGAGACAGTTTGAAAGACAACCATAGATTTCATGGTCCATGTCCAATGACTGATCTCTGCCTATGTGTCGTGGCCAGACTAACATACATATGGCGTGACAGGCTAAGTTATCATAAACATTTGATAAAAGTCGTTGCTACCAAGAGAGCAACATCTAGGTATCAGGGTTACTGAGCAATTCCTTTTTCAATCAGTACCAGGTTGATTTGGATCGCTTTCATCTCTCAATAAAATAAATGAAAAACTGTATTTATTATGTACCCATTTAATCTTTATGCTATGAAGCTTACTTGCAGATCTGAAACATTTTAGTGGCAAAAAACATACAAAAAAAACTGTTTTCTGCATTCAGATTGCCTTCACTTCGAAGGTTCTCTGAATCTGTGGCACTCCGGTAATGCTTCAATGGAACATGTTGGTAGTAGAAGGCTTTTAATTGGTCCGATAAGTAAAATATTAACTACTGATGTTTATTTCTATCTTGCTGTAGTTTGTGTGTGGGTTTTGGGAGGGGAGGGGATGGGCCATGTGATATCAGATTAGGCATGACAATGATAACGATGCAGCAGGGGGTGTTTAACTGAAGAAGAGATGCTATGTAGGTGGTTTGGTCAATTTAACATGGTGTAGAAGTGTAGGCAAATTCACATAGTGTCAGTAAATATCGGTTATCAGCCATATTAGCAGTAAAAATATCAAACATCAATATTAGCCCAACTTTTCAAATTGGTGCCTAGTTCTAATCCAGTGTGAAAAAGCCCAGAACACTTCATAAATGATGATTCACTATAAACGTTCAGTATGATGCTAATCCCAGAGTGCGTAATGCAGCTCCCCAGTGCTGAACCGTCATGTAAAACCAGTGAAGTTTGTTTGCAGCAAATGACACCTTGTGGCCAGAGACAAGAAAAGATACTTGGAGTAGAGAGTCACTCCTATCCAAGTCTGAAGCTTGTAACAGCCTGCTTTTTGGCTTGATACAACTCCCTGCAAAGAGTACAGCGCAAGTTAAGTATTGCAAGATGAAAGAGGTTGTTTTGAATTTTGCGATGAGCGGCTGAACATTGCCATGGTGCTTGCAGGGATTATGGCTGCATGGAGGATACCTGTAGAACTAACCTGTGGGCCTGAACGGGTACGGAGGATAGATGATGCAGGGCTCGCCTTGGAGGACAGCAAATTCAGACAGCTGTTACGTTTTAACTTTTGCTTCTTCCTTGCCCTATAGTCTTACCAATAATTGGGCTTTCAGCCTAAGAAAATTGTCCACTTTAATGCAGCAAAATGCACATCTGTTGCAGCTGTGCTGAAGAATTAAGAAAGCAAAGCCAAATAAAGAATCATGGTTTTTAGGCCCGAGCAGCGAAAGCGCTGCGAAGGCCTCTTGTTTTTGCTCTGATTATTATTATTTTTTGTTATTCCGTGCCCCCTTTGAACAGCTTTTTGGGGACCTTAACATACCCCAAAACTCACAATATTTTGCACACTTGTCAGGCCTGGTGAAAAATTTGATATTTTAAAGGTCCCAAAAAAATCGCAAAGAAAATGGCTGAACAGCGCCCCCTACAAAGTGAAAAAAACCCCTCTCCATAAAGCTTAGTTTATCGTACAGTTATGAAATTTGGTACACTTGTAGTACTCAACAGTCCGCACAGAAAAGTCTCTTGCAACCATGGTCAATATCAAACAGGAAGTCGGCCATTTTGGGTTGAAATGGCGATTTTTTGCCGTTTTTGCTGTTTTTAGGGTCCGTTTCTGATTGGATTGCTCGATCATTTTTCGCACGATCGTCTCAAAAATTGTGTAAAATTGCTCAGAAGGGATGGGCGAACAAAATGAGATAAGGATTCTGAGTTTTCGTATATGTTGAAGGGGCGGAGCCAGGCCTCGAAGTTTGACTACTCGCCAAAAATATTTAAATTGCTATAACTTCATAACTGAATGGAATAGAGTTACCAAACTTTCTGTGGTCATTCGTCATCCACCCACAAAGTAAATTGAATGGTCGGATGATGACATCACACAAGCCCCGCCCCCTCAGGACCAAAAAGATCAAGTTTTACTGTGAAAGGTCCCAAATTGCCCCATTTCACTTAATCACCACAAATTTGTAGCTGGTAACTCAAGACAAGTGGGGGTTGCTTGGCGTCACTTTATGGGAGTTTTCGGCAGAGGGCGGGGCTGTGGCGGCGCGGCGAATTCAGGCGTACCGCCTTGGCCTTACGTTTGCCTCCCATTTCGTCATTTCCAAAGATATCGTCACGAAACTTCTTGTGAGTGATCCTAGTCCGGCCCCCCAAAAGATCTGATGTGAACATCTGGTGGGCGTGGCCTATTTTCTGAAATAGCGCCCCCTAGGACCATTAAAACTGTCAGCCCCAAGCCATGCTTTGACTGAGGATTACGAAATTTGGTACACTAATGTGGTGTCTCAGGACCTACAAAAAAGTCTCTTGAAGCCAAGTGCAAAGTCGCACAGGAAGTCAGCCATTTTGGTCCAAGTGCGCGATTTAGTGGTTTTCACACACGTTGTTTGGAGAGTGATACTCCGTCGCCCTTTTCACCAATCACTTTCAAACTTCTGCTATATAGTCTTAAGACATAGAGGAAAAAATTCAACCGTCGGATTTTAAATAAGTATAAAGGTGTGGGCGTGGCTAAGCCTCAAACTTTGACCTTTCGCCACGCCACTCTTTTTTTCACAGCTCCTTATTGGACTCCTTTTACCCAATCACCAGGAATCTCTGGTAAATAGCAGCAGGCAAGTTGAGGTCACTTGGTCTCCAGTACTGGAAGGTTTTGCAAAAAGGCGGGGCTTTGGGAGCATGGCGAAATTCGCCATCACGCCATGGAAATACGTTTGCCTCTCATTTCTTCATTTATCGTGATATCACCTCGACCATTGTTGTGAGTGATCCTAGTCTGACCCCCAATAGAAAAGGTCAGCTTAAGTTTGTGGGCGTGGCCTATTTTCTGTATTAGCGCCCCCTAGGACCATTAAAACTGTCAGCCCCAAGCCATGCTTTGACTGAGGATTACGAAATTTGGTACACTAATGTGGTGTCTCAGGACCTACAAAAAAGTCTCTTGGAGCCAAGTGCAAAGTCGCACAGGAAGTCGGCCATTTTGGTCCAAGTGCGCGATTTAGTGGTTTTCACACACGTTGTTTGGAGAGTGATGCTCCGTCGCCCTTTTCACCAATCGCCTTCGAGCTTCTGCTATATACTCTTAAGACATAGAGGAAAAAATTCAACCGTCGGATTTTAAATAAGTATAAAGGTGTGGGCGTGGCTAAGCCTCAAACTTTGACCTTTCGCCACGCCACTCTTTTTTTCACAGCTCCCTATTGGACTCCTTTTACCCAATCACCTGGAATCTCTGGTAAATAGCAGCTGACAAGTTGAGGTCACTTGGTCTACAGTACTGGCAGGTTTTGAAAAAAGGCGGGGCTTTGGGAGCATGGCGAAATTCTCCATCACGCCATGGCAATACGTTTGCCTCTCATTTCTTCAATTATCGTGACATCGCCACAAAATGTCTGGTGAGTGATCCTAGTCTGACCCCCAATAGAAATGGGCATCTGAGATTTGTGGGCGTGGCCTATATTCTGAAATAGCGCCCCCTAGGACCATTAAAACTGTCAGCCCCAAGACAAGGTTTGACTGAGGATTACGAAAATTGGTACACTCATGTAGGGTCTCTGGCCCTACAAAAAAGTCTCTTGGAGCCAAGCGCAATTTCGCACAGGAGGTCGGCCATTTTGGTCCAAGTACTCGATTTAGTGGTTTTCGCACACGTTGTTTGGACATTGATGGCCCGTTGCCCTTTACACCGATCACCTTCAAACTTATGCTATGTACTTTTAAGTCAAAGGGGAAAAAATTCAACCGTCGGATTTTAAATAAGTATAAAGGTGTGGGCGTGGCTAAGCCTCAAACTTTGACCTTTCGCCATGACATTACTTGACTTAATAACTCCCATGTGCATGATCAGATCTAATTCAAACTTTGTCTGTGTGATCACTGACCACATCTCAAGACAACGACAATGTGGACAGCTGACATCACCTAAGCCCCGCCCCCTGACAACAGGAAGTCTATTGTTTTATGGTGAAATGCCCATATTTGTCCCCTCTAATTTAATGAAAATGACACTCAGGTCATACAGTGTCTTCATGATGTTTTAAAGACCATTCAGATCTGATAGCTTTCCAGAAAGGGAGGGGCTTTGATGCCATGGTGAATGCTGGCGTGACGCCATGACCTTACATTTGACTGTAATTTCCACAAACGGCCTCCGATTTGCCCGAAACTGAATATGGCAATGAACAATCATGCCCTTTAGCCAATGAGGCACAAACGGTTGGTGAATGTTATATAATGTCACCAAAGCTGACCTCAATGGGACTTTTCTGTAGTTGGTCACAGCGCCACCTAGATAACGTTATCCTTCGATAACTTTAAAAAACATGGTCAGAATAGCATTAAAGTTGGTCACTGTCATCACACCACCAGTGTGGTAAAGATAGAGGATTCCCTAGTGGTGAGACATAAAATATAATGGTGGGCTCAAAGGGGATGCTGAGTCAGGGTGAGTTGCGGACAAGGTGGCCGTTAGCAGTTTCTGGTGTTGGGGTGGTCGACGTTTGTGTTCTGCGGACGTGCCCTGGTGCCCCGGGCTGCCGGCCAGGCCGGAGCGGCGCGGAGCTGCGAGGGCCGAACGACGCTGCTTGCAGCTTTAATAATTTAATTGGGTTTTTTTTCAGCCAATTTGAGGTCATAATGACCCCATGGAATTCACATGAAGGAAGTTTTACTCACCAATATTTTTCAATATGGCTTCAAATTCAATTTGAAGATAAAATACAACAAAAAGACATTAAACTTATACAAAACCTATTCTCCTGCTTATATTGAAGACCCGCTTTAGGTCCTTCTAATACGTTGCATTGGTCTTTAAAAAACTTTTGATGGCAGGGACCAGGAAGTTTTAACACTCGGCTTTATGTAAGCATACCAGAACGGCCCTTCAGTCCGGGAGGGCCAGCACGTCCCGGGAGTCCAGGGGCACCTGGGAGTCCTTTAGGGCCATAGCTTTCAGAGCCAGGGTTACCCTTCTCTCCTTTTGGGCCAATGTTACCAGGAAAACCAGGGGCTCCAGGAGGACCTGTGTGCATGAAATCGAGACAGAATTTGGTGTTTTCTTTAAATTATTATTATAATTTGGAACTTTATTAAGTGCTGATTTATTTACTACCTATAACAAAACGGCCCGGAGGGCCTAGTTTGCCGGGGAATCCCGAAGGTCCCTGTTCACCAGGAACACCAGAGAGACCACTAAAACCTGGGTCCCCTGGGGGTCCTGCAACCAGTAACAGGAAAAACGATCATTAGTTCCATATTAAAATAGGATGTTAGACAGTAGATGCAAATGAAACCATTTACCTCTAACATAACTGTTAATTTCACCGAGGTAGGTTGGCGGTCCTTCAGGCCCGGGGTCACCTTGTTCTCCCTTATGAGGGAGTCAGAGCACAATACCACATTAGAAAATGAACAAAAATCAGACCTAAAACTTCACAAACTAAAACATATGATAACTGATGGATTAAAAAAAGAAAAATAAATACCCAATTGGGACTTTAAAAAATATTTCCACAAAATAAGTGAGCCTTATGCCACTATAAGCTAAAAAGGGAGCTAATGCTTGCCTATCTGCAAAAATAAATCAATACATTTAGATTTTTACCAACTCAAAATTATCACAGCTAAACTTTAGGTTGCTGTCGTAACCCCGGTTCTCTGAGTAACAGGAGTGAGATGTCTCACTAAGGGATACGCCCCTCCGCGGATTCCCCAGAAGCACTTATCTCAATACGCCAATCCTGATTGGCCAGTGACCGTGACGTACGCGTCCCCCTGCTACTATAAGTAGCAAGCGTCCCAACGTACGCACTATTCAAGATAAACACCTCTTCTCGCTTCGCCCAGCAAGAAGGGTTGTCTGGTGAGACATCTCACTCATGTTACTCAGAGAACCGGGGTTACGACAGTAACCTAAAGTTCTCTTTCTTAACATTCGTTTCGATGTCTCACTATGGGATATGGAGACTCCCGTATTGCCAGACAGCTTATCCAGCGATCACCAACCTACAGGGATACGTCTTGGCCCGCCAAAGACCCCACACTCAGAATCGTGTGAGTCATTGCAGGGACCGAAACATCAAGCTTATAGAAGCGTGCAAATGCAAGTGGAGAAGCCCAACTTGCTGCAGCACAAATCTCCTGGATTGACAGACTCCGAAAAAGGGCCCAAGAAGCAGACAGGCCCCTAGTAGAATGGGCCCTGAGCCCAACAGGAGCCTGAATGCCCTGACAGGAGTAAGCCATAGCAATTGCCTCCACAATCCAGTGGGAAAGCCTCTGCTTTGTGACGGGTTTCCCCTTACGAGGCCCACCCCATGACACAAAAAGCTGGTCCCCCCTGCGAAGGTTCTCCGTCCGATTCAATACTCCTTGAGCGCGCGAATCGGACACAGCTTGTGCCACCGCTCCTCCTCAGGAGAGGAGAAGGGTGGCGGGTAGAAAGCTGTGAGGATAATAGGAGAAAAGGAGTCCACCACCTTAGGCACAAAGGCAGGGTTGGGCTTCAGGGACACCTTCATGTCACCTGGTGCAAACTGGGTGCAGGATGGATGCACAGAGAGAGCCTGTAAGTCACTAACTCGCTTTGCAGATACCAAAGCCAGGAGTAACACCACCTTAAAAGACAGGATCTTAAGGTCCAGGCCGTCCATAGGTTCAAATGGAGGCCAGGAGAGGGCCGACAGCACCAAGGACAGATCCCATGAGGGCACCAGGGGTCGAGACACAGGGAGAAGCCTGCGAGCGCCCCTCATGAAGCTACACACCAGGGGGTGTTGACCTGCCAGTTTCTTCCCAAAACCCAAGTGTCGGGCGGAAATGGCTGCTAGGTACACTTTAATGGTGGAGAAAGCCTTCTTCCCATCCAACAAGTCTTGCAGGAAAGACAGAATGACGTTCACCGGGCATTGGAAGGGTGAGACCTCCCTGCCCTGACACCAGGCTTCAAACACCCTCCATTTACAGTCATATAGGGACCTAGTGGAGGGGGCCCTAGCATTCTGAATGGTTCGAATGACTGCCTGGGGAAGCTCTGCTGACACTAGCCCGCACCCCTGAGGGGCCAGGCCCACAGGGCCAGCCGTTCTGGATGAGGGTGGAAGATCGAGCCTCCCGCTTGGGACACCAGGTCCCTGCGAAGCGGAAGTTTCCAAGGTTGGCCCTCCAGGAGCTGGAAAATGTCCGCCACCCAATGCATGGCTGGCCAGTATGGGGCCACCAGAATGAGAGTGTGGAGCTGGGTTCGTACCCTCAGCAAGGTGGGTGGTATCAGGGCCACTGGGGGAAAAGCGTAAAGCAGTCCCCGTGGCCAGTCGTGCGCCAGCGCGTCCACGCCGAGTGGAGCGTCTCGGTCGTGCAGAGGACAGTGAGCATTCTCCTTGGAGGCAAAAAGATCCACTACGGCTGTGCCGAACCGGATCCAAATCTGTTCCAACACTGCTGGATGCAGGCTCCAATCCCCGTACAGGGGTGTCCCTCTGGACAACAGAAACGCCCCCCGATTCAGAAGACCCGGGACATGGGTGGCTCTGATTGAGAGGAGATGCCTGCTGCACCATAGGATCAGTCTGCGTGCCAGCGTGTGTAACCGCATGGAGCACAGCCCCCCCTGGTGGTTTATATATGCCACAGTCATGGTGTTGTCTGTTCTCACTAGGACATGATGGCCGGAGAGAAAAGGCAGGAAGCGCCTCAGGGCTAGAAAGACCGCGAGGAGTTCCAGATAATTTATGTTTGTCCCCCAGAGCTCTCTGCTCCACACACCCCTGACAGAGCGACCCTCCAGGAGCCCCCCCCACCAACCTGACAGGCTCGCATCTGTCGTGACCACTTTCCTCACGAGAACCAACCCCAAAGGCACTCCCTGTGCCAAGAGGGAGGAGTGACGCCAACAGCGGAGCGCCGCGACGCACGCTGCAGAGACCGTCACCCTGCACGCTCTGTGGCGCACTGGAGAGAGACCCAGAGAAGCCACCCAGCGTTGAGAATCTCTCATGTGTAGACGGCCGAGTGGTACCACTGAAATAGCCGACGCCATGAGACCCAAAAGCCTGAGGCATAACGCAAACCGCACCGAACTGTGTAGGCGGAAGCGCGCCAGGCAGAACGAGAGCGCGTTCACGCGCGGTGCCGAGAGACGGGCCGTGAACGCCCCTGAGTCCAGATTCAGACCTAGAAAGGTTATTTTCTGGGAGGGGAGTAAAGCGCTATTCTGCCAGTTTATTCTGAAACCCAGACCACACAAGTGAGGGATCACAACCAGCGTGTTTGACGCTGTCTCCTCTCTGGACCGTGCCAGCAGGAGCCAGTCGTCTAAATACGTGGCCAGCCGAATGCCCCTCCCTCTCAGAGGGGCGATCGCCACCTCCGTACACCCGACAAACACCCTCGGGCTCAGCGAGAGGCCGAATGGGAGCACGGTGTATTCGTAACACACTCCCTGAAAGGCAAACCTCAGAAATTTCCTGTGTGGAGGGTACACGGGAATATGAAAGTATGCGTCCCTCAGGTCGATTGAGGTGAACCAGTTGCTCTGGTGAATCAGACGCAAAAGGGATGAGAGCGTGAGTATTTTGAATTTGTACTTTCTGAGGCATCGGTTCAGGGCCCTCAGATCCAGGATCAGGCGAATCCCGGTCCCTCCCCGCTTCGGGACCAGGAAGTACCTGGAGTAGAAACCGCTCTGAGACCGATCGGGAGGCACAATGCATATCGCTCCCTTCTCCAGTAGGGAGGAGATTTCTCCCTGAAGGATGTGAGCTGACGACCCCTGGGCGTGGGAGAACACTACGCCGGAGAATCGAGGAGGAACAGAAGCGAATTGGAGCCTGTAACCCCTCGAAATAGTTCTCAGCACCCAACGTGAAGCAGAAACCGCTGTCCATTCCTCCATGTGAGTGGAGAGCGGTGACACAGCCGTGACACATGGAGCAGCAGCTCCCTCCAGAGGTTGTGGGGCAGCGGTGCTCGTGGCAGCCACTGCGCATGCGCGGGGGCTTTGTGCTTTGACGGCCCAGGCGTACGGGGACGACCCGTGGCTGGCGGGAAAGTCCGCCAGGGGCCGCCCCCGCCTGGAACCGCTCATGGGTGACATTTTTATTGATTTTTGCTGCGCCCTTGACATCTTGTCTGGATGCGACAGCGAACCTTTTAATGCTCCTTGAGCGTGACATGTTTGTGAAAAACAATGTGAGTGCTTGTGACGTGTGTTTTGAGCCGGGACCGCCGGCTGCACGTCCTGGCCCCACCATGGACCGCTCGGGAACTCTGCCGGAGGGGTTCCGTGAGGGGGGGGAGAAAGCACCATGGCAACATCGAACAGGAGGAGCTGGCGAACGGGGAACCGCCAGCTGCAGCGTCGGGAGGGAAGAACTCCGACAGGCTGCCCACTTCTTCCTCCTCACCTGCTGACCGCCGTGTCTGGTGGATTGTCCCGGCGGCGGAGCAGCTTGGTTGCCGGATCCATGAGGCCAAACTGGTCGAGGCTCTGAGCCCGAAGTAGCTGGTTGGACAGCTTGAGGCTTCGGGCGCTTTGGGATCCGGAACTGAGGCTGGGCTCGGGCAGCTGCCTGAGGCAGGTTCGGCCGAGCCGGCAGCGCCGGTGAGGGTTTACGGGGAAGGCAGAGATGAAGGGCTTCATCCTCTTTCTTTTTGGCCGCACACCGTTGCTGCATTGATGCCAGGGCAGAGCCAAAATGCCTTCAGGCACGATTGGCATGTCCAAAATGTCCTCCTTCTCTGGTGAGGTTCAGCCATCGTGCACGTTCCTGAAGCACCATCTTGCCCATAGCTTTAGCCGTAGCATGGACCGCACAGCGCTGCACACGCAGGCAGATGTCGGACAGTACGGTGATTTCCTCCCACACCTCCGGGTCCGGCTTCGTATTCATGTCCTCACAGAGCTCGGCTTGGTACGCCGAGAGCATGGAGGAGACATTCAAAGCTCGGACCGAGATGGCGGCAGCCTTGTACGCCCTCTCGTTCAGCGCTGACTGGAAGCGGTCCGCCTTCGCAGGGAGAGCGGGAGGCCTGGAGGAAGTCGCCGAGAGCCGTGGGTGCAGGTGGGCTGCAACCAGCGGTTCCATCGGCGGCATGCGAAGCATGCCAGCCTTCTCAATCCCTTCGAAGTCCAGCGAGGAGGCTCCTTGGACAGGAGACCTGGAGCTGAACGGGTGTTTGTCCCAGGAGGACCTCACTTCTTGGAGTAGCTCCGGTGTCGGTACAGGATCTGCTCGGGTGCAAGATCGGCTAGGGGTCCGTCGACTGCCGATGACGTCTAAGTAGTTGATTGGCTGAACATGAACCTCACGGAATTACGTAACCACGTTACGTTGTTATCACGTTACGTTGGTCCAGGCAAATCTTTCTATTGGAAAGATGGACAACTTTAACAAAGAAATCCATCATTACCTCTTTGAAAATACACTTTTAGCATAGAACTGCATGTATATTAGGGCTGAACGATTAACTGCATGTGCAATTAAATTGCGATGTGACAAAAGGAGATTTTCTAATCTCAAAGGCTGCAATTTGGCAGCGAGTGGTTAGCGCAATGCTAATATACATATAAAACCCATAGGAATGCTAATGCTAATATCGCCGATTACATTATTGCAAATAATGAATTAGAAACGTGCCAAATGATTACATTTGGAGTCTAATAGAAAGTAAAAATACCATCAATCAAATAAGTACAGACAGGTATTTTAGTAAAGCCAGAAAACTTTTAACTCCAGAGTTTTAGCTAGCAGCTATGAGCGTAACTGAACTACTCATGGACAAGATGTCAAAAACTCTAAACACAAAATACTTAAATAAACGGGACACACTTCTTTCCTGCAAATACAATTTCACAGGTGCTGCTAATACCTATGATTCTTCAAGGGATGTGCTCAAAGAGGAGTTCAACATTATGAATAAAATAGTGTTTTATTTTACAAATACCATTATTAACACAAACTTACGTCTTAAGAAACATTATTTTAATAACGAAACTGCTAAATTCTTTCCAACAGTATAGATGTGTAGTGTATTTTGTCCGAGTGGGTTTGCCGTACTTTGACGTCATCGGCAGTCGAAGGACCCCGAGCCGATCTTGCACCCGAGCAGATACTGTACCGACACCGGGAAGGCGGGAAGGAGTGGCTTTGCCGCCCTCGTGGCCTGAGGCAGCTTCTTTCCCTCGTAGCGGGATCTGACAGCCTCAGTGACCACGGTGGGCCAAGGGATGTTGAGCCTGGTCGCAGCGCGTCGGCAGACTGACTGCATGTCCAGGTGGGCGGCCGGAGAAGCCGCTCCATCCCTGGGAGAGGACGGAAAGCTAGGCATGGGGCCCTGAGCGATGGGGAGAAAGACGTCGTTCTCCTCTGAAATGAGGAGTTCCGAGGTGTCCTCATCGTCTCCGTAGTCCAACTCCAACACGTCCTCGGCGGGGTGGCTCGGACCGGCCAGTTCGAGCTGTGGGGCCCCAGCTGAGTTCGGCACACGGTTCCGGCTCCAGGAGGACATGTTCGCTGGCGTCCCCAGGCGGTGGCCCAGGGGCCGGCAGGCAAGGGTCCTTCCCCGACAGGCTAGCTTGGCGCGCTAGCCGCCGGCGAAGGCTCTTCAGGGTGAAGCAAGCGCAGCTCTCACATGACCCGGTGACTTCCAATGCCAGCTGGGCGTGTTCCAGCCCGAGGCAGCTCGAGCAGACCCTGTGCGGGTCTTTGCTTGAGATTTTGTTCCCACAGGTACAGAGGCGAGCTCCTGCGCCGTCGACTCCTCTGGTGGGAGGAGCGGCTTCCATGTTGGCTAACTGGTGTGTTAGCATAGAACGAACAGATGCACTGGAGTGTGAAGCTGCTCGTTATACCCCGAGCCTATGGTGGAGGTCAGGACAGAAGGACGGTAAGTTAACGTTCGGCGACGGAGAGAATATTAGAAGGCTCCGTCTGTGAACAGTTGAGCTAACTTACCTCAGAGATAAGCGACCACCGAAGCGAGAAGAGGTGATTGAATAGTGCGTACGTTGGGACGCTTGCTACCTATAGTAGCAGGGGGACACGTACGTCACGGTCACTGGCCAATCAGGATTGGCGTATTGAGATAAGTGCTTCTGAGGAATCCGCGGAGGGGCATATCCCATAGTGAGACATCGAAACGAATGTTAAGAAAGAGAACTAACATTTTAACTCATTAAATGCACTAACACCAAATCTGCTGCAAATTTTCCAAAACTTAATGAAGTTGTAGCTTTGCTACAAAATAACACACACACACACACACACACACACACACACACACACACACACACACACACACACACACACACACACACACACACACACACACACACACACTCTCTCTCTCTCTCTCTCTCTCTCTCTCTCTCTCTCTCTCTCTCTCTCTCTCTCTCTCTCTCTGTCTCTCTCTCTGTCTCTCTCTCTCTCTCTCTCTCTCTCTCTCTCTCTCTCTCTCTCTCTCTCTCTCTCTCTCTCTCTCTCTCTCTCGCTCGCTCGCTCACACACCCTCACCTTTGGTCCTCTGAATCCTGGCTGTCCGGGGTAACCTGGGTCACCACTCATTCCCTGAAATTGAAAAAATAAAGTGTTAGTTATTATTTGTGGTACAACTGAACTTCAGCTTAACTCATGTTCAGTGAGAGTATGCTGGTTTCATCGTGGTAGTTTTTGAAAATGTGCTTGAATGTTTTTTCTGATATGAACTTTGAGCTGAATTTCATGTCTACAGGTTTAATGCTAAACATTGCATCCTACCTGTTTAGGGTGGTAAATAATATCTCCAATCTACCTTCTCAGTGGCCTAGTGGTATGAGTGTATGTTCTGGTACTGGGAGATGGGGGTTCAGATCTGGTTTAGAAATACCAAAGACTAAAAATGGGACCCAACCCCCCATCGCTTTACACTCAAGGGTTGGATTGGGGGGATTAAACCACCGAATAGTTCCTGAGCCGCCACTGCTGCAGCTCATTTCACCAGTGTGTGATGGGACTTTGACTTTATCCATGGGAGGTGTGTGACTGTGTAAACATCTAAAACTCATCAAAATGTGCAAATTTTTAAAAAGGTTTTCTAGTATACCGTAGTTCCTGGATATCCAGGATTACCAGTAAGACCCGGAAAACCCTGTTGGATGAAACACCAAACAAAGTTTACCATAGAATATAAAATAGTAGTCCATTTTGATTTACATCAGATCAGGAAACAGCACTTCAGTCATTCCTCAGCTACAGTGAACCATAAAGTTGTGGTGAGAAAGTCTTACTCTTGGTCCAGGGTATCCGAGAATGCCTTTCTCTCCAAATTCACCGGGATAACCAAAAGGTAACTAGAGGCAACAATTTTTTGTTACTTTTCAGATACTCATCTTGCATTTTTGATGCAGTAGATGACTTTTCTGTTTGTATAGAAATGATTAAAAGAAAGTACTTACAGCTACCCCTGGTATTCCTGGATAACCTCTGACTCCTTTTGGACCAGGGTCACCCTTAGAGAGACATGAAAGACAACTTTAGAACATTTATTTTAAATAAAAAAAAAACACAATGTAAAAATAACAACTACGAAGGATGTTTACAAAATCTAGAGAAAACACGTCATTTAGGATTGAGGGTTTTACATTGGCTATTAGTCATTGTTCTTCTAACTTACCTTTGGAGCTCCACCCAAACCATACAACTACAAAAATTGTGTTACTGGGTCTGATTTTATTTTTTAAATGTTTGACTGAAACATTTGTCCATTGGTTGAATTCCCTAAACCCAATTAGCATTTAGTGCTGCCACCATAGTTTGGGTTTGGCTTAAGGAGTGATCTGATCTTGAGGATCCGTTAGAGTTAAATAGGTCGTACCTGCTTGAGGCTGACTGAAATAACAATGTCACAATAGCTTCCTCTAACTGTTGCCATTTCTAAATATGAAAAATGTCTGCTTTTAGATTTAAATGAACAGTTTTCTCAAATTCAAGCACATTTCCCAAAATGTACTGGCTGCAGTGACTTCATAATGATCCTTAGGCCTTTGGGTCAGTGGGTGAAGTGACAGTTTGTACTCAATCCTATGTTTGGTGAACTAAACATGGACAAGCACTGATGAGGGATGCTTGGTTGGAGTGGTTGGTTTTCGGTTGACTTTTACCACTGGTAAATGGTGCTTTTGCAGCTTTTGTCAATATGCAGCCATACTTTATGGGTGTGATAAGAAAGCATGCTATGGCTCTCTTACCTACTTCAACCCACGGGTTACCCTTTAGTACCTAACTTGATCCAGTGCAGGGTTGAGAGACATGGTTGCAAAGATGTGTCATATGTGTGGAAAGTTTGATACAAGCTTACAAGATTTCTTAGCTGTACAATTGATGGACAGTTATTGAACAACCTGCAGAGAGTGGCACATTTAATTAAGTGATTGCAAACATCAAGGGCATTTTTTCTGTTGGGCTGCTACTATTGTCTAAGAATGTCAAAGGATGAAATTGTCTTCAAACAAGTTGTGTTTTCCAACAAACCTGCATTCCTTTGACGCCTTTGGAAAAACCCACAAACTCCTCAATGCCATTGGTCAATGGCTGACCAGGCTCACCGGGCAAGCCCACGTCACCCTGAATACCGTGATCATGGAAGAGAGAGCTGTTTACACCCAATAACCGCCAACAACGTTCTGATCAGTCGGTGGCGGCGGACCAAGGAGAGGTAAGGTGTTTGAGGTGTTTAATGGAAGACAGAATTTCGGACTGGATGATGGAATCTATGTTGTTGATGCATTAAACTTTTAAAGAGGCTGAAGGAGAAGGAGACTCTGGGGAAATGAGGAGAGAGTGGCCTTTGTCATAGCATAATTTTGCATTAATAATTATGTCATTGCTTCTAACATTTGTGCAGCTCCACAACAGAGAAACAAGATTAACAGGAGTTTTTATGAAAGACCAATCACTCTTTTATTTCTCCTCAAACCTCCTCCTCCCAATTTCTTCCTCTTCCATGGTTGTAACGTTTGCTGCAATCACTGCTCCTCTTTCCCCATTTTTTCAGCCTGAACCGCCATCCTGCGGTGACACTGATTTTAACTTTCACAGTTTTAATAATTCGACCCAACCACATTTATGTGTGTGTCATGTGTAAGTGGTACGTCTTTCCTTCCCTTGCTGTGTTACCTTGTCTCCTTTGTAGATAGTGACAGGTTTTTCGGCGCTTAGTGACCCGTCACCCGGAGAACCACTGGGTCCAGGAAGACCCATCTCACCCTGGAGTCCGAAATACATACAACACACTGTTAGCCAATCAGATGAATTAAGGGTTGATGTGAAGGAGATGGAGAGAAAAGAGAGAGGAGGAAAAGACAAAACCAGGAGGAAGAAGTGACAGCGGAAAATAAAAAATTTGGAGGTAACCTTAATAAGCAAATAGACTGCTGCAGAGAATACAAGGACGGCAATATAGAAATGTTTCCCAGTAAAGTTTCAGTTAAAGTAAATTTCAATTATTTCCAAACAATTTTAACCATTAAAAAATACCTAGACATTTATCATAAACTGCACTGTGGTATGTGTCTGATTATCAAGGGTACAGCTGTCATGATTCATGCTCCTGCACTATGTCTCTATGCATTCAACCAATCACTCACCCCATGCTAACCTGTACCTGTCCAATTCCCTTCACCTGTGCTCTCCAGGATATATATGTAAAGCTGGTTTTTGAAGGGCACTACTCAGCCTAAAACCACTCTGAGTTAAGTCAGCTCATTTGACTGTAGCTGTGTTTGCATGCCAGCTTGTGACAGAAAGTAGGTGCCTTCCAATTACTGGACAACCCGCTCAACCTCTTGAGCTTTTGCTGCCCCTATGTTACACAGAAACACACCTAAGCAGAAATATGGTGGTGTTGTTGGACATTCTGCTCAGTTTTGTGGATTTTTGTCAGACTCTGAACCAGGAAATGGCTGAGGCAGTGAAGCAGCAGGCAGAAAACTCCAGAGCAACCAGTGACTCCGCCCCTTAGCCAATTAGTGGCTACAATCGCGATGCTAGCCGACTCAGCTTAGCCGAGAACCACAATGGAACAGGAACTGAAAATGGGGAAAAAGTAGAGGGAAAATACCGAACCATGCCCTTAGAAAACGTGGTTGGGCTTAGCTGCACTAGTTCAAGTTACTCTGGGTAGTGCTCTTCGAAAACCACCTTATCAGAACAAACATGGCGGATGCCAGTTACGGCTCAGCGCCAGAAGATTCTAGATAACAACCAAAGACGACTCATACACAGTAAGTTGATGAATAGATAAATATATTTCATTGTAATATTGAACTGTTGGCAACTGAAAAAGTAGCTTGTGAATTTTTTTGAGCCGACAACTATTTTCTAAAATGACCGTTAGCATTTTAAGCTCAATGCTAACCTTTAGCCTTTTTTTTAACCTGATATTAGAGAAATTTTATTTTATTTTATTTTTTACTTTCTTTTGCTTATATGTTTTGCTTTAACTTTTGCTACCGACACCCTCGTTTTACTGGTTTCCACTCTATCCACAATGCTGCTGCTTTTTGCAAATACTGGTCAAATACGATATGCTCTGCAAGAGTCTACATCCCTATTTAGCCATTTTCAAAGGAGAAAAATTGACAACCCCCCAGCTGGCTGAGAAGGAAATCTGTTTCAATGTAACCTTTATACTGTTTTTTTGATCATTTCACTTTTAAATCCATGCTTATTGAAGGCAACTGGACTTCTTTGGATTACCATGACCTGGATGACAGAAAACCTTCTAGCTGTTGTTTAACCCTGCTTAACTTTTCACCAAAAGAAAATTATATTAACAATAAAAAAACACAAAAAAAACAACAAAAATTTACCATACAATGTAGGTTATTTTAGGTTGACCTTTTAAGAATAATTACCAAAAATTTCAAAGGTGTCTGTGAAATTCTTACCTCCGTTTTTTGAGCGTTTATTTATTCACACAGTTTTATTTTTTCTGTTAACTGGATGAAATAATCACCTCTGTTGATCATTTTTTTTACAGAAATAAAGGATAAGTTATCTGCAATGACTGAAAAGAAGAAACCACTCAGGAAAGGAACACATGCAAAGAAATAAACCTTCTCCAAACCAACAAATCCCTGAATCTGTATGAGTTAATGTGAGGATTTGATTGATTTTAACATGCAGGCGTTCTGTGAGGAAGATGACTGTTAGTAAATGTGTGTGGTTGAGTCAGATGGGCGGGTCGGTGAGAAGGTGAGGAGGATCACTATGAGATTGACACGTGTGATGAAGATGAATATGATGTAGGAATGAGGAGCAAATGATTCCAGCACTCAGTTACTTCCCACAGGTTCTCCTCTGGAATGACAGCTTGGACGTTTTGTGTCTGAGAGAAAACTTGTGTTTAATATGAATAAATTCATTTAGGCAAAGAAATGCCGGGATCAGGTTACAGATTTATATTTTTGATCGTTTACTTGAATGTTTGCCACATAAAAAATATCCAAGCTGTCACTCCAAAGTAAAGAAAACAAGTTCATGAAAACACCAGATAACTCACAACTCTCCAGTTTGAAGAATGCAGTTTTTTCATATAAATATTGAATCAAGATACCAGAAATTTAAACGTTTGCTGCATCTTTTATGGAGGTTGTGCTTTCTCATTGGTTAACCAGATGAAAGAACAAACCAGACTAAATCAAGTAGAGGTTCATGTGATCTTTTTATCATTCAGGATACAGAAATTCCCCTCAGTAGACGTGACAATCAGAGGATGCAGGGATGGGTGGAATGGTGTTAAAAAAGGAAAAAGAAGTGGATGGAAGTAGTGCAGGTTATGAAGCCACCACCAAAAGTACCAGCATTCACAGTGTTACTGGATGACCAATACATGCATTTTAGACACAGATTCACTCAAACTTACATGCATTCATATTTTAATTAGACATACACACACACACACACACACACACACACACACACACACACACACACACACACACACACACACACACACACATACACACACACACACACACACACACACACACACACACACACACACACACATACACACACACACACATCTAAAATTTTCCATTTGACATTTGTTCGTGTTTCATATCTTCTTTTTTTGTATCATACCTTATCTCCTTTCCCTCCTCCATATATGTCACCACGGCTCCCCTAAAAAAAAAACACGATCAAGATTAAGATTTTTTGGACAAAATTTTGAAAAATACAAATAAAGAAATAAAATAAATAAATATCAAATGTAATGTATGATTAGAAATGGACTGAATTAACTTAAAATTTTCTAGTAAATTTTACTAACGTAACAAAATTTGATGTTTTCATAATCAATGTAACGCTGTTAAACTTATGTAGCGTCATGAATGTCCTGTTTTGACCTAAAGGTCATGATCTGCTCCGTCTGCTCGAGCAGAGACATACAGTCTCTGACAGGCTAATCTACATGAGATAGTGGCCAAGGTCTTTCATGCACTCTGCTCATCTGAACTGCTTCACCTTTGTTACAGCTCAAGACGAAGACGAAGAACTATTTTGATAAACACATAATCAACAACTTTGTTATTATAATGTGAGCCCAATGTTCAATCAATCTATGAAACGACAATGTCATTACTTGATATTATAATCCTGTGATCAGTAGTATTTTACAAGTAATTATAATCCTGGACATTTGCACTAGACACTGATGACACGTTATACTTAAGCCACATGACACATTTCATTTTGTCTGATCCAATCAGAACCTTCGTTTCTGGCTAGGTGTGGTTTTCTGTGGTGTTTGTATAAACCCTCTTTTGCATGTCAAATTCTGATTCGCCAGTAAACCAAAATATGACAATTATAAAAACTTTCCTACACCACCTTTTCTTGAGTTCAAGCGTTCTAGAGAAGTCTCGGACAGGCCATCCGGACTTCCTCTTCAGCCAAAAAGAACCTCGACAAGCTGTACAAAATCTGTTGCAAGTTACACCTGACCACAACGGTTCCTTCAGAAGAAAAGCTGAACCTCACGACCCCTTCAGGGTCTCGCTGATGCCAATAATAACTGTCGTGACCTGGAAGCATTCCAAGACTAGTTTGGTTGGCGCGTCTGCTTTTCTACCGGCTTTGGTTCCAAGGAGGGTCCGAGAGGACCTCGACATCCTGGATCTAAACGGAGGCTTCCCCTAGGTACGTAGACCGACAGATGGCGTTTCATGTGTGTTATAGATCTCCGATAGTTTAGAGCGAAACATTCACTTCCACTCAGAACTAAATGCTTCTCCGGATCCGCTGGTTCTGATAACACATTCCACACATACACCATCCACTCATACCTCATAGTCCATCAGTACACAGAGTGTTTAATTTAGTCTTGTTTAAACTGTGTAGAAAAACATTTCTTAACTATTATAAACCTGACTCTCTCTCTTTCCTCGGAGTTAATACGAAGTGTCACTTAATCACTGCAATAAAAAGTTGTGATCTTCTGGTTAAAATATTCAAAGATCCATCAGATTGACATTTCATATTTCTATGGAATCTCACATTTTATGGTTGATAAGTAAGATGTAAAATACCCATCCTTTACACGTACCTGTGGCCCCGGGGGACCAGGAGGACCAGGCACCCCCTAGAAATGATACAATAAAAATGGAATCGGTTTTTAGTCAATAAGCACAAAAGCAGAAGTTGTCATTAATAAAACTACGTCACAAAAACAAGTATTTCAAGGTACGGTTGCTTTTAATAGTACATTTTTGCAGTGAAAAGCCCATTTTATAAAAGGGAAACTCCTTCATCTGTAAATAATAAATAATATCAGTGAAATGATGAATAATAAATATACATTAGCTCATCTTTTTAGAGCCTAAACATCTGTAAGAGTTTGTTATTGTCTATTCATGTTGTTTAATTTCCAATGAAACATTTTTAAGTTTAATTCATGCTGGTTCTGCACCTCCACCTTGTGGTGGCTGAAACTTATTGCAGTTTATTGAGCTTAAATACTGTAAAAACAGCAAAAAATGATTTCTGCTGTTTTTGTTCATGATTCCAAAAAGTTAGCATTAGCATCACAGAATAGCATGATTGTTCAACACTTTAAAACTCAATGCCCAAAAGTAAAGCTCCAATTTGTGTCATGTGACCACTGTTCAAGATTTAAGCAAAAATATTATTATGCACCGTGGATTGTAGAGTGATTCAACCCTGATCCCCAAAGGCTAAAATAACAAGTGTTTTAAATTGAATATATATTTAGTAGAAATTCAGTTCAGAGCTTGTCCACAGTCCTGTTTTGGAAAGTTGATCTGTGTGTGGCGCAAATGAGACTAAGACAGAAAGATAACATACTGGAAATCCATCAGGTCCTCTTGGGCCAGGGAAACCAAATGGACCATCAGGACCCATGAAACCCTGCAAAATAAATAAATAAATAAAGTCATTCATTCATTAAAAAAACATCTCATAATACTATACTTAATTTGAAATCAGTTAATTGACATTTTATACATTTTAGTTTAAATAAAAACTTCTGTTGTGCTCAGTTTGATTTTTTTTTTTTTGGTACTGAAAGAAGTTTCATACGACGTTATCATGCATCAAAACAGAAACTAGTCTTACAGGTATTCCGTCAAGTCCCGGTTGACCCGGGGGACCCTGAAAAAGAAAAGAAGAAACAATTGTTTGAAGCAAATAAACATTTTATTGAAACAAAAATTCGACTGCATGTCTACAGAAGTGGATTAGCGCCACTGAAAAGAAAGGGGCCCTAATCGTTTCCACACTATGTTTGTAATAATAGAGAATCTGTTTTATTTATTTATTTATTTTGTTAAGATTAAGAATCATAATAGCATTTGCTGAATCATGACTAGGACATTGCCCATTTGGTCAAAAAACAAGAAGCAATCAGGTTCATTAGAAAAATGAACAACACGGCAAAAATGTTCACAAAAAATGTGTATCTATATATACAGATTTAGATACAGATGAACCTTTAGCGTTAGATTTAGCAAGAAATGGTAAATGGTCTGTATCTTGTATAGTGCCTTCTTAGGGTTCTACAACCCCCCAAGGCGCTTCACACGCTGGTGAATACGAGCTACGATGTAGCTACAGCTGCTCTGTGGCACTCTGATGGCGGTGAGGCTGCTGAGCACTGGCACCACCGGTCCCTCTGACCACCACCAGCAGGCAGGGTGGTTAAGTGTCTTGCCCAAGGACACAACAGCAGAATTCTCTGGTCGGAGCCGGGATCGAACCTGCAACCTTCTGATTACTGGACAACCCGCTCTATCTCCTGAGCTACTGCTGCCCCTAGCTCTTCTTGGAGCTCTGAAACCAAGTATCTTGCCGGTGAAATCGGAGACCTTACCGGAGAACCGTGATCCGAGATGTATACAGGCTCCCCTTTCCTCCCCTTTGGCCCAGTCGGCCCCTGTTTCGGATAAACACACAGCCCGTTTTCTTTCATTAGCATTTTTCCAAAGAAAGCTTTATGACAAAAGGTAGATTTTTGAGAGGCAAAGCTCACAGCAAATCCAGGAAATCCAGGTTGTCCTGTTCCAAATCCAGGTGGCCCGGGATCGCCAATAGTTCCATTACAGCCATCCTTTCCTGGTGGTCCTCTACTTCCCTGATGACCAGGATGACCCTGCAGAAGTAAAAGAAGAAAAGTCACGCACTCAGGATGACAGGGTGAACTAATTTTACCACAAAAACGTCGCGAGTTCAAATAAAAAAGAAGTTTAACATTTTATATACATCGTAAAAAAATAGTCTTATATTTTAAAAAAGTTTGAAGTGAATTTTCTTTCCTTCTCATTTTTCAATAGCTGTTTAAATGTGGGTTCAATAAGTAATTTACCATTTAACACATTTAAAGTGACTGGAACTTTACAATTAGAACAATTATGGTCTAATGTGATTAAAGCTATGTTATTAAAACCAGAACCATTACCCGCTTCTCTAAATGGCTTCTTTTCTGTCAGATTCCACAATAAGATTATTATTCTGACATTTTATTTTGGTATTATGGTTGGTCAAAGAAAACATATTCAACAAAATCCAAACACATTTGTGTGGAAAGACATTCTGTTTTACTTACAGGAACTCCATCACTTCCTTTAAATCCCGGCACTCCCATTGGCCCCTGTAAGAATGATAGAAAAACCGACAATTTCAGTTGAAAAAAAAAAGCTAAATTCCCTATTAGCAATATTGTATAAATTTAGGACAAGGGTACTAATACTGGGATGGAATACTGTTTCAGTCTTTATTCCAATATCAGTATATCGTCTAAGTTTATTTTAATTAATTTTAATGGACATTTTGTTCAGAGGGACAAAAATGTTCTCTACAAGAACATAAAAGTATTCAATACCACCACCTTGTGGCTATAGTAAGTCACTGCATGAGTGACAGGATGCTTATAGAGGAATATGGTAAATGGATACTACGTAAAACATTACCTGAGTAATGGTTTGGAAACAGAAACAGATTATTGGGGACTGGAGCTTCCTGGAATCATATTTGTGTGTTTTGTATATCCACAGATGTCATTTATTGTATGACCTTCTTCGGCCCACCTATTCCACCTTACTCAGGATCCACTGATTTCCCTCTTATCTATTCACTCTCCCGCTTTCTTAACATATTTTTTATCACAATTGTCTATTTTTTGCTCATTTTAAATATATTTTTAAACATTTTCTAAATTATTTTTTATATTTTTACATTTTTTGTTTTTGTGAAGTGCCTCGTGATTTTTATCTTGAGAGGCGCTATAGAAATGATACTTTCTTCTTCTTCTTCTTCTTCTTCTTCTTCTTCTTCTTCTTCTTCTTCTTCTTCTTCTTCTTCTTCTTCTTCTTCTTCTTCTTCTTCTCCTCCTCCTCCTCCTCCTCCTCCTCCTCCTCCTCCTCCTCCTCCTCCTCCATGGTTAGTCTAAACCCTTTCCTCTATTTCTCAAATCTGTACGTAAATCCAGTGTAGCAGAGCAACGTATCCCACTAAAACATCTCATCAAGGTACACTAGTGGTGTCCAATCCTGGTCCTCGAGGCCCCTCTATCCTGCTTCAACACAGCTGGTTTTAAAAACAGTGACTGATCAACAGGCTATTTAAGAGCTTGATAACCAGCTAAACAGGTAATCCAACTATTGGATCAGGTGTGTTGGGACTAAATCATGCTGGATAGTGGCCTACGAGGACCAGGATTGGACACCCTTAGGTACAGGTCAACAATGTTCTTATGTATGCCTTGACTCAACGTTGTTTAGCACTGACCAAAGCTTCAATCTGCCCGATGCTGCCGTCACCTCCCTTTATAAGTAACAATGGGTGGAAAAAGTATGCTTTTTTTTCTTTGATGTTCATGGATTGTTGGCTGGTTCTGCCAATGGGATGGCATGGATCAGAACCTTCAAATTAAAACACAGACCCAGTTTCACCAGCCGTTACCTGTGGGTGTCAGAGAGCTTGTTTTCTACAAAAAAATCTGGAAAAAACCAAAATTGCCCCCTAAAAACATCTCCACTTCTAAATAATCAACTATAATTACTGACTGTTGGCTTAATACACACATTTAATGGGCACTATTACAATTAGCTAATCTAAATGCTTTACAACAAGACTCAGAATAGGTTAACAGTTGAAAATGTGCAATTTGTTTATTTGTCACCCACCATGTCTCCTTTAGAGCCAGACGGTCCTTTAACTCCAAGGTGGCCCTTCTCTCCTTTAGGCCCTTGAGGCCCCAGGATCCCGCGTGGCCCTTCTGGTCCACTTTCTCCGAGTGCACCAAGAGGTCCTGGAGAGCCCTGATTGGACAAAGATCATGTGCCATTTACATTACATGTAAACTGACCAAGGTTTTACACAAAGAGGCAGTGGCGTGTCCAGATCTTTTAAAACGGGGTGGCCCAGGTGAGGCACAACTTTGTGCATGGGTGGCACCAATGGTTATGCTTTTTTTTTTGTTCTACCCCAAGCCTTTTGTGGACAATGAGAAGTCTATTTAAAGGTAAATTAGTGTGGTGGCACCTGGGGTGGCCAATCAGATTCCAAGGGTGGCATGTGCTACCCCAGGCCACTCCCTGGACACGCCCCTGCAAAGAGGCTCATTGAACACCAATTATTACAATAATGTGTACCAATATGAAATATGCTGTTCTTTTTAAATGTCTCATTCTTTTCTGTTTGATCAAACCCCCCAAAACTACAAAATGAAGATTATAAAAGAATAATGTTTACCATACCATCTTTATTTATAAAGCACATTTAAAAACGGCATGGCAGCCGACCAAAGTGCTGTACAGAATAAAAAGTAAAAACACAATATAAAACAATACACGGTCAACAATAAAATGCACAACAAGGCAGATAATTACAGTCAAAAAAAAAAGACACATAATAAAATAATAAAAGTCAGGGATTTAAAAATGCCTGGTCGTAAAAGTGAGCCTTCAGCAGCGATTTGAACCGGAGGAGGGATGGTGCCAGCCTCACCGAAAGAGGAAGAGCATTCCATAGTGTCGGAGCAGCATAGACAAAAGCACGCTGCCCCCGCGTTTTGTATTTCATTAATGGAACAAGAAGCAGCAGGCAATCAGCAGACCTCAACGTTTGTTTTGTAAAAGTTTGAACAAGAGCTTTAATGACAAAAGAGAACAAATTAAACCATGTTTTCATTCATGTAAGAGTTCTTGAACATTCATAAAGTATTCACATGGAAGAATCTGGTTTATTGAGTTTAGAAAAACGTACAGATGTGTCACAAGCTTTTCAGATTAGATGAATGGTTTTAGTGAAAGGTTGTGAAAACGCATGTGCAACAAGACAAGTGTTGTTGAATAAAAGAGAAACGCTTATACTTTTACAAAATTATACAAAATTTTAATAACCACAATAAAAAATGTTCAGTACAGCTGACACTACTTTTTCCCATTAACACAGGTAAAAGTAGCATGCCACAGCAGGGGTTAACGATGTGCACATTTCTTTGTCTTTTCTCGGAGGCATTTTTACTACCCACCATTATTCCTGAAGATGTGTGTGAGTGTCTCAGGAAAGTATCGAGGTTTATGTGATTTTGCTGCTTCTGTTGTCTAAAAGCAGGAAAATGATCAGGAGGAACATTTAAGGTGTGATATAATCCTGTCAGGATCTACTCCTTCTCCCTCTGAAGTGTTGTCCTGTCTCCCCTCGTTAAGTGTTCGGTGGACTCGCCTGCCCCTTCTTATCCTAACCCTAACCCTAACCCTACCTACCAATCATTAATCATTTTTAAAGTTTTTTTTACCTGCCTGTCTGCCTCCTGTTCCTGCTCACATGAATTTGGGTCCTGTTGCAACCATCGCCACTCCCTTAAAATATATTTTTATTTTGTTTGAGGAAAATTACGGAGCCCATCTGGTGACATTGAGGGGAAAAAAAACTTGTGTCCACGAGATACTTAATGCGTGGGAACGAGTTATTAACTCGTAACCACGAGTAAATTTTTTTTCCTCAGTGTCACCAGACAGGTTCCATAGAAAATAACTTCTGGAGTCCGCTATTCACTGAAAATATAACTGCAGTGCTCAGCATTGGCCACACGGTGGCAGCATGAAAACGAAGATCCAACACGAACAGGTGCTGAATTAGAGGTTGTGGGGATCTCGTCATCAGGAGGCTGGTCCCAATAATTCAGTCACACACACACACACACACACACACACACACACACACACACACACACACACACACACACACACACACACACACACACACACACACACACACACACACACACACACACACACACACACACACACACAAAGCCCTCTGACAGCCTATGATTAGCTCATATTTTAGACAATATAACAGGGTAGGGAGAGGAGATGGTTTAGGGTGGGAAGAGAGGTCTGCGAGGGGAGTGGGTTGCTCCTGGGTCAAAGCAGAGTCAGAACACATGATATTATTAACTAAAATGATTTGTTATTGCTTTTAATAATTTTAAGAGCTCTACGTACCCTTTAAAATAGAAAAAGGTGCTTAAATACCAGAACACCACTAAAAGCAGGTATTTCAAATGTTTAAGTCAGCAAAATCAAGCTTCACATCCTAACCGAGCAAACTGTGTTTTACAGCATCAGTACCTGAATTTTTTCCTCTTGTTTCCAGATGAGGCTCTGCCTCCATCCCACGTGGCCCCCAGGCGGGGAAGGAAGGAGGGTGTAATGACAGGCCTGTGCCAGCTAAAAAGGATGCCTGCCAGAGCTGTCTGGCCCAGTTGACACTCACACCTGGTTTCACCCAGAGAAAATATGCAGCGCTTCCACCGGGAGACACTTTCTCTCGCACCTCACCCTCCCCATCGCTCGCTTTATTTGGAAATCTTTTACCGAACATACATTTGCTTTGAAATTGAACAAATCTCCATCTTCCTCTAAATCTGTTTATATCCCAACTGTGCAACAACTTGCATGAAAGGTATTTTTAAACAACTTTTCCAAGTTAGGACGTGCTTTAGCTGGCTGTGGGTCATCTTGTTAAAAAAAAGCTAAAAAAAACACCTTTTGGTATTTTTGAGGTCACGGGTCACCTGGACATATCTGTCTGACTGATGTCAGGTTAATGTGAGTTCAGGTGAAAAGGTGGAATGTTCCCAGGAGTCACACATTCACGCCGTTTTCAGGATGTGATCTTCCTATAAATTAAATTGCGTGGAAAATAACAAAGAATAAACGAGTAGTTTAACTCAAGTCACTTTACACTTTTTAAGCCAAATAAAACAATAGTTTTCATTTTAGCTTATTTATTCTATATTAGTCAAAATAACATTATTCTCACCTATCAAGCACCTTTAAAACCAGAAGTCAGTGAGAGTCAACGGAGACTGGCTCAGTATGGGAACTATCACCAAGTGGTTGAGTGAGGAACTGCACACGTATTACCCTTACTTTATTTTTCTTTCTCTTTTGACAAACAAAACAAAACAAAAAACAAATCTAGGTGGATGTTGCTCAGTGTAAAAGGGCGGCTGTCCGCTAATCAGAAGGTGAAAAGTTCGATCCTAAGTCCCAGTGGGCCACCTGCTGAAGTGCCATTGGGCAAAATACCAAACCCCAATATATCAACGGCCACCCGCTAATTAGGAGGTCAAATGTGGAAACATATCTTCCTCAAAGAAGCCAAGAAAGTATATATATATATATATATATATATATATATATATATATATATATATATATATATATATATATATATATATATATATATATAACACTTTTTATACAAACGAGGTAAAACCAGAACAGAAAGAGCAGACTAAAGCAGATTAAAACATCCTACCTACTGCTCACACAACTGTGTTCTGAACAAAATGCAAGAAAAATGTTTTTGGTTAAAAATATGTAATAGGGATCGGGATATATAATAGGGATATTATAGGTATCGATACAGTCTAACTCGCAATTACCAATACCAATATAAACCAATACAAAAATATGCTCATCCCTCCAAAAAACAAACAAAAAATTAAACTATTTTAGATAAACTAACAATCCCAAATACACACGTATGTTATTAGAATGTAATCTTATTACAAGTATATTTTAGAACAATGAAGTTATCAGGATCAGTAATACGTTTTTCCAGACACCAGCTTGTACCCCTGCCATCTGGCATCTCCGGTGGTTTTCGTGCCAGTCTGTCGGGTCTCTACCCATCTCTTCCAGACCTACCGTCCTCATCACCTTCCAGCAGACTGGTCAGTTTGTAGGTCCAAATCCCATCCAGCATAAAAGGTCACAATGGAGCCTATTCTGACTCACTAAGCTCTCTGGACTTAGTCCTCCCGTCAAAGCCTAGCTCACTTCCTGCCAGAGGAGAGTGCTGGGACAGACGGATTGTGGCTGTCATGCATGTGAAATCCAATGTGTGTGTTGCGTTCACGAATGCACATTCATACAAAAATGATCACACAGCCTCGGGCCCTCTGAGGGACTTCATCGGGCTGTATTGTTCTGTTGGCTGGAGGGTGATATTAGCTGTCACACCGAATGCTAACTTGGGAACGATGATGGGTGAAACACGAGGGGGGGGGGGGGGGGGGGGGAGCTCAGTAAGTATTGGGCTTCTGGGTTCAGACAGTACAGCACTTCACCATGTAACACATGGATGGACAAAACTGCCTCTGAAAAACAAAAGATGCCCCAAAAGATGTGGAAAACTTCCCACCTTATCTGTCTGCACACTTACGGAGAAGAGGGAGACAGACTCCCCTCTACATGGGAATGTTTAGGTTGTTTTCTCTCTCTCACCACACTGGGAATCCAAACACTCATCTTTATCTCAGACATGTTTGTCCTGGTCAGGAAAGGTACAGAAATCCAAAGACGATGTGGACAAACTGTTATCATTTGCTGCTTCTGAGCATAAACCCAGTAGATGTGCATACCTTGACTTTCATTTTCTCAGAGAAAAAAAGCGTTCTCGTAAACGATTAACCCACCTGACCTTTTAATTCATCACGAAAACCTTCGGACCCTGGATACCCAACAGGACTCGCACAAACTACTTCAAACATCTAAACAACTTAAGGTTCACATCGTGGGAAGCTGGAGACCAACTGAGCAAAGTATAAACTCTTTCACCTGTTGGGTCTTAATAGTATTTGAGCAAATTATGTAAATATTTTTATAAACTTAGACAGGGGTCCTGTTAAAACCCAATGACCCAGAGTGCAGCTCCAGCCACAAGGTTGGGCCAAATGACCTGAGCGAATGAATGAACATAGAGAGAAGTCAATGGTCAGACTCATCCGTGTGGATATTTC